ATATTCATGAGAGATATTGGTCTGTAATTTTCTTTTTTTGTGGCTTCTTTGCCTGGTTTTGGTATCAGGGTTATGCTGGCTTCATAGAATGAATTGGGAAGTATCCCTTTGTCTTAGGCTGGGTTCTCTAGAGAAGCAAAACCAGTAAAGCATGTAAATATATATAAAGAGAGATTTACATCAAGGAAACGGCTTATGCGATTGTAGAGGCTGGGACGTCTCAGGTCCGTGGATCAAGATAGGGGCTTCTCTCGATTCTCGTAGCCACAGGGGCTGGTGAACCCAAGATTGGCAGGTCGGAGAGCAGGGCTCCTGCTCACAGGCTATGAAGGTCGACGAATCCCAGATAAGCTGGTATCCCAAGTCCCAAGAACTGGAGATTAGACGAACAGGAGGCAGCTGCAGGATCCAGAGTGAGCAAAAAGCCAGAATATCTGCTTATATTCGGATGCAGGCCACACCCCCAAAGGAAACTGCCTTTCAACTGATTGGCTACTCACAGCAAATTTCCATCATGGGAGTGATCACATATAAACACGGAGAATCATGGCCCAGCCAAGTTGACACACAACCTTAACCATCACACCCTTCCTTTTCTATGTTCTGAAATAGTTTGAATTGTACTGGTGTAAGTTCTTTTCTGAATGTTTGGTAGAATTTTCCTGTGAAGCCATCTGGGCCAGAGTTTTTTTTTTTTTGTTGGGAGTTTTCTTTATTACCTTTTCAATCTCTTGTCTTGTTATGGTTCTGTTCAGATTTTCAACATCAGTTTGTGTTCGTTTGGGTAGGTAGTGTGTTTCTGGAAATTTGTCCCATTTTCTCTAGGTTTTCAAATTTGTTGGAGTATATTTTTTCATAGTACTCTGTTATGATCCTTTTTATTTCAGTTGAGTCTGTTGTAATATCCCCTATTTCATTTCTTATTTGGGTTATTTGCCTCCTCTCCTGTTTTTCTTTTGTCAGTTTGGCTAGTGGTTTGTCGATTTTGTTGATCCTTTCAAAGAACCAATTTTCATTTTATTGATTCTTTTTATTGTTTTTGTATTCTCTATTTCATTTATTTCTGCTCTTATCTTCGTTATTTCCTTTCTTCTGGTGTCCATGGGCTTCTTTTGCTGTTCTCTATTTGTTCGAGTTGTATAGCGATTGTTTTGATTTTGTCCCTTCTTTTTTGATGTGTCCATCTATTGCTATAAATTGCCGTTAGCACTGCCTTTGCCATGTCCCAAAGGCTTTGGTATTATATATTTTTATTCTTATTTGGTTCTAGGAATTTTTTCTTTCCATCTTTGATTTCTATTACCAGTGCTTTTTTAGTAGGTTGTGATTCTGTTTCCATGTAATTGATTTTTTTTCCTTTCTCTTCCTGTTGTTAATTTCTTCTTTGATGGCATTGTAATCAGAGAAGATACTTCGTTTTATCTTAGTGTTTTGGATTTTATTGAGGCTTGCTTTGTGGCCCAAGATACGGTCTGTTCTGGAGAGCTTTCCATGTGCGTTGGAAAAGAGTGTTTACTTTGAAGCTGTTGGGTGGAGTGTTCTGTATATGTCTGTGAGGTCAAGTTGGCTGATTGTGGCCTTTAGATCTTCTGTATCTTTGTTGAGTTTCTTTCTAGATGTCCCGTCCTTTACTGAGAATGGTGTGTTGAAGTCTTCTACTACTATTGTGCAACTGTCCATTTCTCTTTTCAGTGCTGTTAGAGTTTATGTGTTTTGGAGTCTTGTCTTGGGTGCGTAGATATTTATTATGGTTATGTCTTCATAATGGATTGTCCCTTTAATCATTATATAATGCCCTTCTTTGTCTTTTATGGCGGATTTTGTTTTAAAGTCTATTTTAGTATTGCCACTCCTGCTCTTTTTTGGTAGCTGCTTGATATATTTTTTTCCATCCTTTGATTTTTAAAAAATTTATGTTTTTGTTTCTAAGGTGTGTCTCTTGTAGGCAACATATTGATGGATCCTGTTTTTCCATCCATTCTGTCACTCTGTGTGTCTTTATGGGTGCACTTAGGCCGTTTATGTTCAGTGTAATTATTGATAGGTGTGAGTTTATTGTTGTTATTTTGTAGTGCTATTTTTTGTGGTGCTGATGTTTTCTTTCTTCCTGTTACTCTCCTGTGCTGAATTCCTTTTGTTTGTGGATTTTTTAAATTTCATTTCTTTTGTTTTTGTATGTTGTGTGTTTACTGAGACTTTGTTTTTCTTCTTTATTTTGATGAGTAGGTTTGTTAACTTTCTTTGTGGTTACTTTGAAATTTACCCTTATCTTCCGAGGTTGGAACCGGTCTTTTATTACTGTATCCCCTTGCCTTCCTCTCCATTTGAAAGTTTGTACCTACACCTTCTTTTCTCTCTTTTATTGTTGTGACGCTGTCATCATTTCTAGATTAACCTCTCTGTTTCCCTGTTGTAAATCTTTTAGTTTTGATTTGTCCTCAAGAGTTCATTACCTGGGTTGGTATCTGGCTGATGCAGTCAAAGAGTATAGGGCGATCTTTTTGTAGCATGTCCCTCACTGTGGATTTGTATGATGTTTTCTCATTTGATACAGTTTTACATTTTTGGCAGGAAACCACAGAAGTGATACTGGGCCCTTCTTAGTTCATCATATCAAGAGGCACGTGATGTGTGTTTGTTCCTTTTGATCATTTGGTTAAGGTGGTGTCTGCCGGGTTTCTTCACTGTGAACTTGCTGATTTTCCTCATTGTATTTAACAAGTAATTTGTAGGGAGATAACTCTGAGACTTTATGAATAGCCTGCTCCTCATCAAATTTTCACCACTAGTTTTGGCATTTATTGATTATGATTCTTGCCTGAATCAGTTATTACTGATAGTCGTAAAATGGTGATTTTCTAATTCCATCATTCTTCTAGATTTATTATTTGACATTCTAGTGTTAAGTAAAAGTTTCCCTTATTCTCCATTTATTTGTTTAATATATGTAAGGACTTATGAATTATTACTTTATTCACCAGATTATAAGCTAATATTGTCATTATTTGCTTAATTGCTCTATAGACAGATATTTAGAAATTAAAAAAAAAAGTTTTATCAATCAAATGATATCCTTTAACTTCTTATATGTTTTTGAGAGCATAAACAGTTTTCTAATATGAAAATAAAATTCTGTATTCCGTATATCCACGTACAGACATCCCCTGATAAAGTGGATTATGAATATAGTGAACTCCTTTTATATCAGAATCAAGTTCTTCGGGAAGCAGGCCTCTATAGAGAAGCCCTGGAACATCTTTGTACCTATGAAAAGCAAATTTGTGATAAACTTGCTGTAGAAGAAACCAAAGGTAATTTATTAAGAATGTCATTTATTATATTTGATTATGGCAAAGAGAAGGGCTGAAAAGTCATCTGCTTGTTCCTGACAATGTCATATAATAGCACTTTTTTTATGATAAAAATTTATGTCCTAATCATATACTTCGAGTAATTTGTAATGTGGGAAAATACACGTTTAAAAAGTGGGTATTGTTGATGTTGTTAGTTGCTGTCGAGTTGATTCTTACTCATGATATAGGGGAAAGTAATTGTGAATAATAAAATTGTAGAATGACATGACTCAATGAAACATCCTTCCTTTAAATGAAGTATCTATGATCTGAAAAGGTAGTGTTTGATGAAAACAAAGAAAGCAGTTGCTTAATTTTATAAGTCAGAAGATTAAATATTTTAGAAATGGCTTATTAACACTTTATAAGCCAGATTTTTGTGTAGGTAATATATATTGATACACCAGTCTTTACTAAAATACAGTATAGGACATTCCTAGGGTGTTATTTATAGTTTTATTAGAATGTCTTGGTAGACATAGAAAGAAAATGAATTCTGAAGGGAAAGGAAACCAGAGTTTTGGGGTTATGTGTGTAGATTGAGATAGGAGGGGTAGATTCCTAAATAAATGGATCTCATTATACCATTTATCAGAGGACTGATAAAAAGGAACCCTGTAAATAGTTTTCTACCACTCGTCTGTCAGTTTTTCAGACTGTGATGATTTGCATATTGCTGTGATGCCAGAAGCTATACTACTGGTAGTTCAGATACCAGCAGGTCACCTGTGGTGGACAGGTTTCAACAGAGCTTTCAGACTTCAGACAGATGAGGAAAAAGGACCTGGTGATCTACTTCTTAAAAAAAGAAAAATTGCCAGTGAAAACCTTATGGATAGCAGCAGTTGTCTGATACAGTGCTGAAAGATAAGCCCGTCAGGTTGAAAGACACTCAAAGTACGACCGGGGAAGAGCTGCCTCCTCAAAGTAGAGTCGACCTTAATGATGTGAATGTAGTCAAGCTTTCAGGATCTTCATTTGCTGATGTGGTACTACTCAAAATGAGAAGAAACAGCTGCAAACATCCATTAATCAGAACGTGAAATATATGAAGTATTAATCTGTTTGAAGTCGTCAAAAATGAAATGCATAAAGATCAACATCCGAGGCATTAGTGAACTGAAATGGACTGGTGTTGGCCATTTTGAATTGGATAATCATATGGTCTACTATGCTGAGAATGACCAGTTGAAGAGGAATGGCATTGCATTCATTGTCTAAAAGAACATATCAAGATCTGTCCTGTTGTACAACACTGTCAGTGATAGGCTAATATCCATACATGTATAAGGAAGACTAGTTAATATGACTATTATTCAGATTTGCCCACTAACCACTAATGGCAAAGTTGAAGAAATTGAAGATTTTTACCAACTTCTGCGATCTGAAATTGATCAAACACGCAATCAGGTTGCACTGGTAATTACTGGTGATTGGAATGTGAAAGTTGGAAACAAAAAGGATCAGTAGTTGGAAAATATGGCCTTGGTGATAGAAACGACGCCAGAGATTGCATGATAGAATTTTGCAATGCCAACGTCTTATTCATTGCAAATATCAACAACATAAACAGCGACTATACAGGTGGACCTCGCCTGATGGAATACACAGTAATCAAATTGACTACATCTGTGGAAAGAGATGATGGAGAAGTTCAATATCATCAGTCAGAACAATGCTGGGACCGACAGCAGAATGGACCATCAATTGCTAGTATCCAAGTTCAGGTTGAAGCTGAGGAAAATTAAAACAAGTCCATGAGAACCAAAGTACGACCTTGAGTATATCCCATCTGAATTTAGAGACCGTCTCAAGAAAAGATTTGATGCATTGAACACTAATGACCTGACGAGTTGTAAGATGACATCATACATGAAGAAAGCAAAATATCATTAAAAAGACAGGAAAGAAAGACAGAAAAGACCAAAATGGATGTCAAAGAGACTTTGAAAGTTGCTCTTGAACGTAAAGTAGCTAAAGCAAATGGAAGAAATGATGAAGTAAAAGAGCTGAGCAGATTTCAGAGGCTCAGGAAAACAAAGTAAAGTATTACAATGAAATGTGTAACACCTGGAGTTAGAAAACCAAAAGGGAAGAACATGCTCTGCCTTTCTCAGGCTGAAAGAACTGGAGAAAAATCCAAGCCTTGAGTTGCAATATTGAAGGATTCTATGGGCAAAATATTGAACGATGCAGGAAGCGTCAAGAGAAGATGGAAGGAAAACACAGAGTCACTGTACCAGAAAGAATTGGTTGATGTTCAGCCATTTCAGGAGGTAACATATGGTTAAGAACTGATGGTATTGAAGGAAGAAGTCCAAGTTGCACTGAAGGTATTGGTGGAAAACAAGGTTCTAGGAATTGACGGAATACCAATTGAGATGTTATAACAAATGGATGCAACACTGGAAGCGTCACTCGTCTATGCCAAGAAAATTGGAAGACAGCTACCTGGCCAACCGATCAGTTCCAAAGAGAAGTGATCCAACAGAATGTGGAAATTATCGAACAGTATCATCAGTGTCACACACAAGTAAACTTTTGCTGAGGATAATTAACAAATGGTCGGAATTGATCAATGTGTTTTAGCAATTTGGATATCATTGGCGACAATAACAGAAGCACTTTCTGAGCATTTGGAAGTGATATAGTGGAAACCCAAATCATGGCAGTGTAAGTGAGAATGGAGGTAGGGGAATTGAAGATAGTAAGCTTAAATGACCCATACAAGGTGTTCAGCTTCATGGGATACACAAAAAGCGTGGTAGATGAAATAGATGCAGGATCAAAAGATAGTTTTTTTTTACTGCATGTGTTTGTGCTAATTGTGGAACGATTCAGTAGAGATAGAATATCAGATATAGTAGAGGGGATACAATCTAGTTGAAAAACTGAAGAATTCACCTTAGATAACATGAGTAGTTGATCCATAGTAATGAGAAATGGCAGACTGTATGGGCAAGTAGGTGTGTAGCTATGGAGCCCTGGTGGTGGAGTGTGTAAGAGCTGTGGCTGCTAACCAAAAAGGTAGCCAGTTCGAATCCACTAGCTGCTCCTTGGAAATCCAGTGGGGCAGTTCCACTCTGTCCTATAGGGCACTATAAGTCAGAATCGACTCGATGGCAACAGGTTTGGTTTTGATAGGTGTGTAGATATAATGGGTATTTGCAGAAGTTCTCTTTTAACTGTTTCCATTTTTTCAGTGAAATAGGAAGCAAGGCCACCAGCTTATTCCAAAAAATATGTATTAAATACCTACAGTTTTACCATCGGTTCTTGATCATATGTTACCTCCTGAAATGGTTCAACATCAACCAATTTTTTTTTGGTACATTGACTCTCTGTATTCCTTCCATCATCTTTTGATGCTTCCTGCATTGCTCAGTATTTTGCGCATAGACTCCTTCTGTATTGCAACTTGAGGCTTGGATTTTTTTCTTCAGTTCTTTCATTTTACTTGTATCCAAAATCAACGCCCATGGAAGCAGCAGTCAGGAAATCAAAGGATGCATTGCATTGGGCAAATCTGCTGCAAAAGATCTCTTTAAAGTGTTAAAAAGCAAAGCTGTCAATTTAAGGACTAAGGTGCACCTGACCCAAGCCATGGTGTTTTCAGTCGCCTTACATGCATGTGAAAGCTGGACAGTGAATAAGGAAGAAGGAAGAATTGATGCCTTTGAATTATGTTGGTGAAGAATATTGAATGTACCATAGGCTGCCAGAAATACGAACAAATCTGTCTTGGAAGAAGTACAGCCAGAATGCTCATTAGAAGCAAGGATGGTGAAACTTCGTCTCAGGTACTTTGGACATGTTATCAGGAGGGACCAGTCCTTGGAGAAGGACATCATGCTTGGTAAAGTAGAGGGTCAGCGAAAAAGAGGAAGAGCCTCAACGAGATTGATTGACACAATTGCTGCAACAGTGGGCTCAAGCAAAACAACGATTGTGAGGATGGCGCAGGACCCGGCAGTGTTTGGTTCTGTTGTACACAGGGTCGCTATGAGTCGGAATAGACTTGACTGCACTTAACAGCAACAACACCTGCAGTGTATCAGGTGTTGAGGTTAGGGTATCTAAAGAGAAAAGACAGAACTGAGAGAAGAATCAATCTTTGGAACTCCAGAAATAAAGACATTGTTGCTGGTGGCGGTGGTAGTGAGGACAGACTAGGATGGTCAGGATCACTTGGGAGCTTCATGGAGTGGGTGATTGGCACAGTTAGGCAAAGGTTTTGTTGTTAATTCTTATACCACTTAGTCCTCCCACACGGAAAAGGTGGTAGATTAAGGGTAGGAAATGAGAATGAGTGTAGTGTAGGAGAGAAAATTTGCAGAATTTTTTTAATGTTCTCAGCGAAGTAGGCTTTTGGTTACTATAGAGCAGACTTGCTGAACCTTAGCACAGTTGACATTTTGGGTCATATAATTCTTTATTTGGGGGGAGGGTAGGTGTCTCCTGTATATTGTAGGATGTTTAGCAGTATCCCTAGCCTCTACCATTGGATACCAGTAGGTCTTCTGTCATCTTTCTCCTCCTAACCCCCCTCCCCCAGCTGTGACAACCAGAAATGTCTCCAGATATTGCCACATGTCCCCAGGGTGGTAAAATTGCCCACAGTTGAGAACCACTGGTACAGAGGTTAAGAATATTGGCTCTCTTAGCCACATTGCTTGGGTTCACATCCTAGCTTCTGCACTATCTGAGAGGTGGCTGGGGGGTTTACTTAAGCTTTATGTGCTTTATAAAATGAAAAAAAAATAGTAACCTGCCTCATAAGTTGTGAGAAGTGAATTAGTTAATGCATGTAAAACATTTAAAACAGTCACTGACAACAGAATAAGCGCTCAACGAGTCTTTGTTTTTACTATCTGATGAGGGTTAGAGGTAGAGGATGAAGTAGTGGTTTGAAAACAGTATCCGGTGAATTGATGTCTATTAAGGAAGAGGATTTCTGAACCATGTTTGAGGCTTATGAGTGTTTGGAGCACATATATTTTTAATGAAACCAGTGCCCCCTGTCCATTCATCTGACTCTCTTTCCTCCCAAGAGAAGGTGCAGAGCAAACAAGAGATTTGGGATAATCTGTGCTTTAAAATTGGTAGAACAAGCAAGGGAGCCTATGTTTTGAGATTGATTTTGATACCTGGGGCTACTAATGTCTTTTAGTGTTGTGATTGATTGTGGAATCCAAGAAAGCCAAGCAGCAGAGAGTTGCTGATAGGCTAGAAGAAAAGGGAATGGAGTTTTATCTGCGGTTGAAGGGCAGGACTGGTGTGAGAAGAAGATAAGACAGTTAAGCTTAAAGCAAGATCCCTGTGGTAGTTGGAAGAGACAGAGTCAGACACTGTGTGGTCTTAAATGTGGCCATTTTTATCAGCTATTATAGCAGAATTGGGTTGTAGTTAATGAAGGAATCATAGGTTAGGGTTGGGACATTATTTTATATGTAAAAGTTGTCCATATGGTGGCAGGAATAATTTAGGACTAGATGATGCTTAATAAGGAGCCCTGTTGATGCAGTGGTTGAGGGCTGAGCTGCTAACCAAAAGGTCGGTGGTTCAAACCACCCAGCAGCTCCCCAGGAGAAAAGACCTGGCAATCTGTTCCCGTAAAGATTTACAGCCTAGGAAATCCTATGGAGCAGTTCTACTGTGTCCTGTAGGGTCACTATGAGTTAGTATGAAATTGAGGGCACACAGCAACAACAGATGATGCTTGGTGACAGTGTGCTCAGTGAATGTGGGAAAGTGGTCTGGAGTTGGACAGATATCTGAATAAATAAGAAGATGGTATTTCTAAATACTATGAGCTTCGAAAGAGGAAGGGATAATAAAAGCATGCGGTAAACAGTCTTCTTGAATGGAATTGGGAGTGCAGGAGGATACCAAATCCATTTACTTCTCAACCTTGATTTATAATGAGATCCTAAGAGAAAATTTGAGGAAAAGTTAAAATTACAATGAGAAGTTTTTTGTCAAATATTTCATTAATTTTTTATTTCATCAGGGGAACTTCTGTTGCAATTATGTCGTTTGGAAGATGCTGCTGATGTTTATAGAGGATTACAAGAGAGAAATCCTGAGAACTGGGCCTATTACAAAGGCTTGGAAAAGGCTCTCAAGCCAGGTAGTGTTGTTTAAGAGTTATTTTCTAAATTTTAATTGCTTCCTTTGTTAATATGTGTATGGGTGCATGTGTAGGTGTGTATTTTTTAATTTTGTGATTAAAATATATAACAAAATTTGCCATTTTAACCATTTTTAAATGTACAGCTCAGTGGCATTAATGCCATTCACAATATTGTGCAGTCATCACCACTATTTCCAAAACTTTTTCATCACTCAAACAGAAGCTCTGTATCCCGTAAGGTGTCACTCCCCATTTTCCCTTCCACTCAGCCTCTGGAACGCTCCAGTCCCCTTTCTGTCTCTATAGATTTTCGTGCTCATATGATTACCCATACAATATTTGCCTTTTTGTGTCTGGCTTACATCATTTAACTTAATGATTTTAAGTTTCATTCATGTTGTAGTGTATATTAGAGCTTTGTTTCCCTTTATGGCTGAATAATATTTTCTGTATATACCACATTTTTTGTATCCATTCATCTCTTGATGGACACCTATGTTATTTCCACCTTTTTGCTGTTGTGAATAATGTTGCTGTGAAATGAACATTGGTGTACAGGTATCTGTTTGAGTCCCTGTTTTCAATTCTTTTGATTATATACCGAGGAGTGGAGTTGCTGGGTCGTAAAATAATTTTATGTTTAACTTTTTGAGGGACACCAAGCTGTTTTCCACAGTGGCAGCACCGTTTTACATTCCCTCCAGCAATGCATGAGAGTTCCAGTTTTTCCACATCCTTGCTAACGCTTGCCATTTTCCATTTTCTTTGTAATAGCTGACCTAGTGGGTGTAATGTGGTATCTCATTGTGGTTGTTAGTATATATTTTACTAACTCATTGCAAAGCACAACTAAAAAAATAGTGGTTAAGAATTGGTTCAGAATCTGAATACAAAAATACATTTGCAGGCTTCCATTTAATAACAGTAGACCAAGCACATTCTGAAACCTCTCCTATTACAAATTTGTAGAAATGGTTGAGAAAATGATTTTGAAAAACAATTAAGGAGAACAAATGCATAATAACTTAACATGACAGGGAAGTTTCTGCTGACAGAAATGAAGGTGTCTACCTGAAAGAAAGATGCAAGCATACCTTATGTGGTAAGCTGTGTCCGTAGGCGAGTGGCCTGCCAGCGGCCTGCTAATGTAGCCAGGCACAGCACTGTTCCCGACGTGTGAAGAGGAGCTAAATTTGTATCACTCAGACTAACTTGGGTTCAGACTCTCTCTGTCTCTCTTCCCTTACCCCCACAGGGGGTCCACTTTTGTGGACAGGCCCAGAAATAGGTAGCTTTCTTAGCCAAATAATTGGATTTGAAGCTGTGTTTCCTTCAGGGCTGATACTGAGCCGTTCCTCATACCACTGCTAGATACGAGGGAAACCTCTTCCTGAAGATTGTTACAAAGAATCACAGACTCTGCTAGGGACACCAGCAGAGTGAATGGTAATTAATCATCAGTGCTGGCAAAAGAGAAAGGGAGGATGGAAGAATTTAAGAGAGGGAATTGCAGCCTTGAAACATGAATAGCCAGTTACCAGAAAGTACCAATTAGGAATCTGGGAAATGGAAAGAAAAATCTTAATAGAGTTAATAAAAAAGAGGCTACAGCTGAGGAAAGTTTAGTGAAGTGGAAGATTGAACTGAGGAAAGCTTCAGCACTGAGTATAAAAGAAATACGGAAAAATGGAAGATAGAGGATAGATGGAGAATCTCCAAAATAAGCCAAAGGAGAAGAGTTGAAGAAGGAGAGGCTAAAGAGAATAGTGGAGAGGCAATATATAGAAACATAACAGCATGATTTTCTTAAAACTTGAAGAGAGAAAGGAATTCTCAGATTTTGAAAAGATAACCCAAAGCAGAAGAGGATAAAAAAAATACTTTGTTTTATATGATGAGAAGTATTTAAAATATAAAAATATTGGAAGGAAATATTCTAAAATAATGATTTTTGATATTTTTGGTTGGTAAGGTTACAAATAGTTTTTTCCCAATCTTCAGATTTTCTGTTGAATAGAGTAAATTTTAATATACTTTGAGAAATTTATATTTGTAGTTTATGTATAAAAATTTTTTCTTTGTCTGCAGCTAATATGTTAGAAAGGCTAAAAATTTATGAGGAGGCCTGGACTAAATATCCTCGGGGACTGGTGCCAAGAAGACTGCCATTAAACTTTTTATCCGGTGAGTGAGAACAATTGCAAAGTAATGAAGATGCTGATAGGATTTAAGGCTTCTTTCCTTGGTTTTAAATATATGAGTATGCGTGTTAATACTAAGGTGTGCCTTGTTAGAGTTGTCTGGATAAATGTAAGCCAACAGGATTTTTTTCTTCCAAGGTGACAAGTTTAAGGAATGTTTGGATAAATTCCTAAGGATGAATTTCAGCAAGGGTTGTCCACCAGTCTTCAATACTTTGAGATCATTATACAAAGATAAAGAAAAGGTAAAGCAAAGGCAATTTTTTTTTTCTAACTTTCATTTGTTTGCTCAGTATTTGGCATAGTTGACTCTTGATTTTCTTTGCACATTTTGTGAATCTTCCTAGCTTGCCATTTAAATGTTTCTATGCTTTTCTTTTCATCCACCTTTCTCTTTACCTCAGTAACTTATTGCTTATTTTTTGTTTTTTGTTTCTGCTTCATATTTCAGTGAGTCAGCATAGGTATGAAAAGTTGGTAAGGTACATTTTCTTCAATCCCTGCTCATGGTGAAAGTCAGAAGTGATTTTTTTTTTTAAGCCAAGTTTTAGTTTAGTAATCTTTCTCCTTTTTAACTTGGTAGAAAAAAAAATTCTGTCGGAAGAGTTTGTTTGCTGTCCCAGTAAGTCAACTTACTCTTTCAGCTCTGTGTTATAATATTGCAAATGCTTATTTAGAGGATGTTTTATGCTTCTCTTAGATGATTTTGCTTGCAAGTACAGTGGCATCAAGAAATGTTGGTTAGATTTTTTTTTTAATGATTTACGGTGAAGAATCGTAAAGATGGAACAAATTAAACGTGCTAAACATTTTAACCTGAAGCACATAATGTGCATTTATTTGCCAGTCTTGATGAAAGATCCAAGATAGGAGCTTTATTGATTGGTGTTTCACATTTTTTTCCCTTGTGTAAATTACATCCATAAAATATGGTTGGTTATTTCTGGTTTTGGTAGAGTGAGAACTGAGATCTTTTGAAGCAGTCTTGGCATATAGACTCCTACATTTTTATGATTTTCCCCTTTATTATTTATGATTGTCTCAGTTATTCCTGAAATTGGTTAAATATCTAATTTATCTTTGAGTCTCTTCACAGTATTCAACCTATACAAACATTTCCTTTTGTTCTCATTTCTTAAGTTGACCTAATATTGAATTAAATTATGCAATTATGGATAATAAGTGCAACTGATTCAAACAGGTTTGAGAAAACAAAAGTGACTCTTAGTAAGCATATAGTTCAACTTCTGGGAGCAGAAGAACATGGGCACATCAGAGTAACCTAGCTGCGACCATTCAGTCCTCACAGTTTTCTGAGGTAATCAAGGGAGCTGGTGTTAATCTGTTGAGTCAGTTAAATTAAGGTTATTTAAGAGAGTTTCTATAGCTACACAAATCCATTAAGGCTAGATTAAGCAAGGAACGTAAAAAATAAAAAAATATTCACAGATCTTTTGTGAAGCTAGGAGCAAGTAGTGAAGTCAGGACTCAGGAGAAAACAGAACGTGGACAGCCATGCATTCTCCTGGATCTCATAAACCCACCCACTGTTCTGTGTGGCAGTTTCACTAATATTTTCCCCTGGATTATGAAATTATCATCTTTTTATGGAATTCCTCTTTGAACATAGCATTTAATTGTGGATTCTTGAAGACAGATATTAACTCCTGGTGTTGTTTATATGAATTGAGATAAAAAATGAAGCAGGATGTAAATCATTCACAATATTGCCTCTCTTTTTCTAACCCTTTCCTGATTCTTGGTTCAGCTTGGTGCTTTATTTTCCCTTTCCCAACAGAGAAAAGGAATTTACCAGGAAATTCTTAGGAAATTGTCTTAATACACACCTACACGAACATATGATTCATTTGATTACTTTTAAATTTTTATCTAGAGTTTAAGAGATTTATAAAAGGGTGTGTGTATACTGGATGCTAAAATATTTATTTAGGCCTTTAATAAGAATAGTAACTGCTCTTTTTATTTTTTTAAATTAAAGTGTGCTTGTGTGTTTGTACTCTAGGTGGCAATCATAGAAGAATTAGTAGTAGGTTATGAAACGTCTCTAAAAAGCTGCCGGTTATTTAACCCCAATGGTAAGTGCTCAAGTTTTATGTTTTTAAAACATCTTGAGAAAATTTTAATACACTATAAAGTTCTTAACCAGCCAGTCAGTATTCTTAATTCTTTAGGGTAAACATAGAGTATTAAAAACTTTTGTTTTCCCCTTAAGGTGGAGATATATTAATTTGCATATTATGTGAAGTTATTTGATTACAAGAGTCACGTGAGCTTTTTGGAATAAAAATTATATAAAATTTAACACATCTATAAAAGTAGATACAACAGTATGATGATCCCCCATTTCCTCAGCACCTAACTTCCATAATTTTTAATTCATTGCCAAACTTACTTCGTCTTTATCCTCACCTACTCCCCCCTAATCCCGTGTTATTCTGAAGCAAATCCCAAACACCACATTATTTCATCCATGAATATTTCAATATGTCTAAAAGATAAGGACTTAAAACATAATACCATCACAACTGAAAATTAATACTTTCTTAATATCAAATAACTAGTCCATGTTCGATGACCTACAGTGGCGTAATGGTTAAATGCTCAGCTGCTAACCAAAATGTTGACAGTTCAGACTCACCCAGCAGCTCTGTGGGAAAAAGACTTGGTGATCTGCTTTTGTAAAATCACAGCCAAGAAAACACTAAGGGGCAGTTCTACTCTGTCACATGGAGTCGATGTGAGTCGGAGTCGACTTGACAGCATACAACAACAGTCCATATTCGCATTTCCATTTGTCTTATAAGTGTCAAGATTTTTTTTTTCCATTCTTTGTTTTTGAAGTTGTTTGTTTGAATCAGGATCTAGATAAGAGCTATGCTTTAATATTGGTTGATACGTCTCTTAAGTCTCTTTTAATCATTGGTGTCTCCTCCATCTCTTTCTCCCTGCAATTTACGTGTTTAAGAAACTTTTTTTTTTCCTTGAATTTTCCCACAGTCTGGAATTTGCTAGGTGCATCCCATGGTGTTTAACATGTTATTCCTCTGTTCTCTGAATTTCCTGTATAGATTGGTAGGTGGATTTAGAGCTGTGCTATCACCCACATGTGGCTGTTAAAATTAATTCAAATTAAATAAAATTAAAAATTCAGTTCCTCAGCTGCATTAACCACATTTTAATTGCTGCTCAGTAGCCACATCTGGTTAATGCCTGTGTGTTGGACAAGGTAGATACAGAACTTTTCCATCACTGTAGAAACTTCCACTGGATAGATCTGATTCAGTTTTATTTGTTTTGCTTTTGCTATATGAGACATGAGCAAGATTATTTCACAGGTGTTAGTGTGTTCTATATCGGGGGCATATAGTCTTTGCTTCTTCTGTTGTAACTGTTAGGAATTACAAACTAATGATATTCTATTACTCATTCCTTATTTTGAAAGAGAAACTTCCCTTCACCTACTATTTGGCTACCCAGTATTGAAGTTTGTATAGGTAAAGCAGTGCTGATATTTTTCCTCCACACCCCTTCTTTTTTTTTCTTCACCAATGTTCAAAATAATGAATTGATTCAGTAGTATCCTTTAGCAGTTACGAGAACTACATTTTTTGAAGTATTATTATGAATTCATGGGATTTAGCATAGTTGATGTTTTAAGTCACTGTAATTTCAAATAAATGATCCCATCCTTCACACACCATGGTAGTAGTTGATAGCTTCCTTGATGTTTGACATGACGGGATATTCCAGTTCATCTAGCATATTGCCCACCACAGACCTAGAGTTTGTTGGTTTTTCAAGGAGCCTTGGTTCTTACAGTGGGAAAGCCCAGCATGGAACCTGGAACGCTCATTGCTATTAGTTTGTTGTTTCTAGGTCTCAGATGAATTTAATAGTACTTTTTAAAAGACTTTGCCATGGTTTCATTGGTTAATCATCATGATGTTCCTTTGATTATCAACATTTTTCTACAAATTATACAAACGTGGAAGAGGTTCAGTGACATGCCCAAGAATATACAGCACTTTTGTTACAGATCTGTCTGGTCAGGGAGTTGGTGAGTTCCACTCCTATTGTTTGTCCACTGAGCCATCGTGCTTTTACTAGGCTAAAAATAAGCAATCCATTGCTTTCTTTAAAAGGAAATAATTTTTGTCATATATCAGAAATTTGTATTAAAACACTTTTTTAATGTGTGGGCTATAGCTTTAACTTACGCTTTTTTTGTGACTATATTAAAATTAAATCATGAACTAAAATATAGAATAAGCCTCTTATCATCTCATTTTTGGTATAGTTTTTATTCCACAAAATTATACATCTATGCATATTCCAGTATAATATTAAAATCTATTAAGGATATTATAATTACCAAAATTCAAAATTACCACATCACAAGTACATTTATGTATAGTATAGTACATTAGCTAGAAACTCAATTAAGTCAGGGCTTTTTTTTTTTATTGATTTTATTATTAATTAATGATTAAAAATTCTTCAATTTTTCTTTCTTTTTCTTTCCCCCCTTCTTCTCATAAATAACATCTTAATGAATACATTCCTAGTTCTAGTACAGCTTGGCTCCGCCACCCCTTTCAGTCTTCTTTTTAGGTAATTAATTGTATTTTATCTTACTTACCTGTCATTTATTCAAGTCCATACTATAGGCAAGGCATTGTGCTAGGGGCTGTTAAGATACAGAACTGAAAACATATTCCATTCCAAAAATCTTTTAGACTTAGGTGCAGTTTTATAGCCAGATACATAAGTGACATGATTCAAACTGTTAATAAAGATAAGAGCATTTTGAGGTGGGGAATTCTCTTAACATATGTAATGCCTAATCTTGTCTCCTTCTATCCTTCTGCCCCTTTTTAAGATGATGGAAAAGAGGAACCACCAACCACATTACTTTGGGTCCAGTACTACTTGGCACAACATTATGACAAAATTGGTCAGCCATCTATTGCTCTGGAATACATAAATACTGCTATTGAAAGTACACCTACATTGATAGAACTGTTTCTTGTGAAAGCTAAAATCTATAAGGTAAAATTCCCCCCCCCTTTTTTAAATAATGTAATAAGACTTGTTGTAAAATATTTTTATATTTTATAAACTCTAAATGTTTAAAAAAATGACATATTTGATGGTTCAAAAGATATGGGATAACAAGTATAGTACATTTATCCTCAGTCTGATTACTTTTAGACTTTGGACTTAGGCTGTTTGAATATTCACTTAAACACATGTACGTACATATGTGTGTGTATGTGTATCGCTGTTCACATATATATTCTCATGTATTCACATACACATCTGATTATTCTCTTGGTTGTTGGTAGTAAGAGTTAAGTAATCCAAAGTTAATTATATTTGCTTTGAAATGTGTTTAACATTTGAGTATGATCACATGCCAGTATATAGTAATGTTAATAAAATGACACTGTGAAGATTCTGAGATGAATTTTACATATTATCTCTTTTGCCTCCTTAATTCCTGGCCTTGCTTCAGGTTCTCCGAAGTTATTGGGGGGAGAAGTTGTAAACCAATGATTTATTTAGTTAACAAAATAGTGAAATTAAGTAATATTTTAAATACACTTTCCAAAACCAGATTTTACTTATCAGTTTGGCTTTACCAAATGGACTAGTTAGGTAAATTAGAATGAGGAGCATAGGGAGGTATCCAGTAGTGGTCCTACCTAATCAGTAATGTTTCCATGCTTCCTCTGGAATCGAAATTTGGCCACCCAATTGCTTTTTATATCTTTAATATTGAACTATGTTCTGACTAATTTGAAGATTTTGATTACTATCTATTGTTTGATTCAACAACTTTTTTTGAGTATTTACTATGTGCCAGTCACTATTCTAGGCAGTGGGGATATGACAGTAGACAAAACAGTTAAAACAAGTCTACTCTCAAGGGATGTACATTCTAGATGGACAGGTATCAGAACTTACATTATGGTGGAATGCATGCATTTACATTAATTATCATCTTACGAGTTAAAAAAAAAAATACTTCCATTTGTTTTTTTAAAATAATTTATCAGCAACTAACTTACTTTCTTTTAATATAATTAGCATACTTACCAGTTTCTTTTACTGTTGTACCCTGTAAGCATGCTGGGAATATTAAAGAAGCTGCAAGGTGGATGGATGAGGCTCAAGCCTTGGATACAGCAGACAGATTTATCAACTCCAAGTGTGCAAAATACATGCTAAAAGCCAATCTAATTAAAGAGGCTGAAGAAATGTGCTCAAAGTTTACAAGGGTTTGTACAGCTAGTGTTCTTACATACGAATAAACAGAACATGAGCCAGTTCATACTTGTTTATACTATTTTTAACATCAGAATAGTCAGGACTTTATATCACCATATTGAAACAAACTGAAATTGATGTTAGTATAAAACAGTATTTTCTTTTTAGATGATTGTACCAATCAGTTTTTAAACTCTGGTTTATTTTGATATATGTTCAGATGACTTTTTTTTTTTTTTTAAAGATAAGGAAACTATTAAGTACTTGCTATGTGCTAGTGTTCTTTTTCTTATGTTGATCACTGCCCCCCACTATGTTGGCCTTCTGCTTAATCCTTTGCAGAGGTACATATTTTTCTCTGTGGTTAGAAATACAATTTCACTTTCTTTCCCATATTAACTATTCCCTGTTACTCTCAGAATGTTTAAAAAAATACAAAATGATTTTGAAAGAATTGTTTCAAAATCAGTTGGCCATATTTTCTTTCTTAAATTCTGTGGTGGAATAGTGTGTTTGGTAAGAAATGGTCTTGAATATGTGTGGTTTTCATATAGGAAGGAACATCGGCGGTAGAGAATTTGAATGAAATGCAGTGCATGTGGTTCCAAACAGAATGTGCCCAGGCTTATAAGGCAATGAATAAATTTGGTGAAGCACTTAAGAAATGTCATGAGATTGAGAGAGTAAGTACTTATACATTCTCATTTTATTCTGTTGTCACGTAGAAGGTTTTGAGCAAATCCTATAGTTTTTCTCTCCTTCCTCTTATAATCAGAGTTGTTATGTTGTTAGTTGTTGTCAAGTCTATTCTGACTCAGTGGTGACTCCATGTGTGGAGAGTAGAACTACACTCTCTAGGGTTTTCAAGGTTGTGAACTTGAAAGCAGATCACCAGGCCTTCTGAGGTGCTTTTGGGTGGGTTTGAACCACCAACATCTCCAGAGCTTAACTATTTGCACCACTCAGGGACTCCATAACAACCCTATAGGACACAGTAGAACTGCCCCCGGAGGGTTTCCAAGGAGCAGCTGGTGGATTCAAACTGCCAACCTTTGGTTAGTAGCCATAGCTCTTAACCACTGTGCCACCAGGGCTTTTGTGTGTGTGTGTGTGTGTGTGTGTGTGTGATTAAATCATTATTTTCACAAATAAACACAGTCTATGTAATTTCATGTTTGTAATATTATCAAGTAGAGAACACCAGAGCTTAGTGGAATGTGAAAGTTGCTAGTTGCTTGACTTACTAATTGATTTCTCTCCCCCATGCCAACTTTACATTGCATAGGGTTTATATGTATAGCTCAGAAAAATTGCCAAAGATGACATATTATAATCCTTTAGGAATGATTCTAAATATAACAACTGAATGCTTAATGTGTGAGTCTATTGCACTACACTATTATGTGTACTAATAAATTGTTTGTCATGATAGCTTTATGTTAAGTATGATTAAGGAAGAAATAAAATACAACCAAAAACCAAACCAGACTCATTGCTGTCGAGTCAATTCTGACTCATAGCGACCCTGTAGGACAGAGTGAAACTGCCCCAGAGGGCTTCCAAGGAGCTGCTAGTGGATTTGAACTGCCGACCTTTTGGTTAGCAGCTGAGCTCTTAACTACTCTGCTACCAGGGCTTTGGAATAAAATATGTGTATATATATTTTTAATTATCTTATCTTTCCATTCAACAAATAATTCAGTGCCTACTCTGTGCCATATCCTGTGCTAGGTGATGGCCAACTGTATTTGCTTATTTGGTATGTAAGGTATTTATATTGAATGATGAAATTTTTAATATTTTTTTATTTTACCAATTTTTTTCATGCTAAGAAAATGAGTAATTCCAAGGCTTTGGTTTTTATAATGTTCTTTTACATTGCTATAACTCAAATTACTATAATTCAATTGCTGTAATAAAAAAAGATAATTTTGTTAGCATTTTATAGAAATCACTGATGACCAGTTTGACTTTCATACATACTGTATGAGGAAGATTACCCTTAGATCTTATGTGGACTTATTAAAACTAGAAGATGTACTTCGACAGCATCCATTTTACTTCAAGGCTGCAAGAATTGCTATAGAAATCTATTTGAAGCTTCATGATAACCCCCTTACAGATGAGAATAAAGAACATGAAGCTGATACAGGTATAATATTTAGATTGGTTATTGTTTGCTCTAGTGCACATATACATGTTTATGTTTTGGTATAATATTGCTTTTTCCTAAGCTTTTTATTGAGTGCCTTTTGGGAAGGTGTTATGCGTGGATAGAAGATGATGGTCATTGTGAATTTCTCTAAGCAACAAAAGAAAAATATTAACTTTTACATTTTCAAAATAAGAATTTTCTTTATGCTGATTATTACATTTAAAAAGTTTGAATTTCATGACTTTTACATTGAGTATCTGGTTTATCCACTACTGTAAGTTGCTCACTTCTCTAATAGGATGTATTCATTCTGCTTGAAGTCCTTAATTAGGGTTGAAACTCTATTACCGGTTGTTAATGTATTTAGTTCTCCCTTTTTTATAGTAATTTATAATTAAGCTACTCTAAGGTGACTGTTACATGAACATTAAAACCTTTGACCCGTTTTTTTTCTTATTGTGGCAGAATATATATGATAAAACTTCATAATTTTAACCACTTTTATGTATATAATTCAATGGCATTAATTACAATCACCATATTGTGCAACCATCATCACTGTCCATTTCCAAACTTTTTTATCACCCTTAATAGAAACTTGGTACCCTTTAAGAAGTAACTCCTCATTTTCTCCTTTTACCTCTCCCTGCTAACCATTAATAAACATTGATCTCTATGCATTTGTTTATTCTAGATATTTCATATACATGGGATCATATAGTATTTTTCCTTTTGTGTCCGACTGATTTCACTCAGCATAATGTTTTCAGATTTCGTCGATGTTGTAGCATGTATCAGAACTTAATTTCTCTTGCTGAAGGCTTGACTAGGGCTGAAAGATCCATTTCCCAAATGGCTCACTCATGTGGCTGTTAGCAAGAGACCTTAGTTCCTTGTAACGTGAGTCTTTCCATAGGACTGTACGTTAGAGAGAGCAGGGAGGAAGCCGTGATGCCTTTAATGTTCTATTCTCATTATCACGTCCTCTACATTCTAATTGGTTAGAAGTGAGTCATCAAGTATAGCCTTGATGGTAGGATAATCAAAGAATTTGTGGGTGTATTGTAAACTACCTTCTGGCCCCAAATTATTTCCACATTGAAAATACATTCACCCCTTCCCAAGGCCTCCAAAAGTCTCATCTCATTACAATATAAGCTCAAAGTCTAGAGTCTTAGCATGATTCTGATACAGGTGCTGATAAGCCTTCTTTAGTGTAGTTCCTTATGTACAGCTCTTCAAGTGTAATTCTTCTTCCTACGAAGTCTTGTAAACTAAAGAGACAAGTTTTCTAGCAACCATGCAACCACCATAGTATAGGCATAGGGCAACCACTGTAGGCATTCTTGTTCAAAAACGGAGGGAGAGAGAACAGGAGACACATAGGAGTTTCTGATTCATAACAGTTCTCAAGTCCAGCTGGGTACCAGTTAACAGATCTTTGATTAGGACTGTGAAGACCTAATCATAATTAGGGAATAATTCTCTATGGCTTTTAGCTCTGCCCTCTGGGGTTCTTGGTTCTGCCTTCTGAATCATCTTTCTTTTCTCTTGTATGTTAGCATTTGTTTGCAACGGAGTAGTTTTTCAGTCTGCTTCCTGCCAGTAAAATTTTAGGGAGTACTGTTTCTTTCAGTCCAGATTGGCAGTGTTTTTGCCCATATAATTCTCTTTCAGACTTCTAGGTCTTTTGTAAATCTTATTAGGATCCACAAAACCAATCCCTCTCTGCTTTACTTCCTGACGTGTTTTCCCAGCAGTGCCCTGGACTTGATCTTCGCTCAGTAGCCATGCCTGGAGAGATTGAGAATTTTCAAAATCATCAAGTCCCTCCGCCTTCCTTTAGTTTGTCTTTCTCATCTTGCATTTTACCATAAGCAGCAAGAAGAATAAGGTGGAACTTTCCACACTTTGCCTGGAACTTTTCCATCTCTAGATCACTGAGTTCATTTGATACATTTTATAAGTGTTGTTAAACTTCCTGTCACTACATGTATCTCACCTGTAGCCTTCTCAATGTCCAGACTTGCACTGAACAGTCTAAGGCTCTTTAAGCATTGACTAAAGCTTTCCTCAGAGTCTGTCTACCTTTTGCCACTCCATAGTTGCAAAGCAACTCCCACATTTTAGGCTTTTGTTACAGCAGTACCCCCACCTCCAGGTACCAAAATCTGTTGCTGCATAACAAATTGCTGAAACACTTAGTAGTTTTAAATAACAAACGTTTGTTATCTCACAGTTCCTTGGGCCAGGAATTCAGAGGTGGCTTAGCTATTTCTGAAGGCTCATTGTCTCTCATGAGGTTGCAGTCAAGGGCATTTGAAGGATTGACTTCGGCTGGAGGATCTGTTTCTAAGATGGTTCACTGTCATGGCCAGAGGCCTCAGTTCTTTGCTATATGGGTCTTTCCATAGAGTTGCTTGGGTTTCCTCTCCACGTGGCAGCTAGCTACAGTGCTTTTATGTCCTGATCTTCAGTGTCACACACTTTCACTTTTACCACATTTTGTTCATTAGAAGTGAGTCACGAAGTATAGCCTCCAGTTAAGGGGAAAGGAAATAGGCTATACATTTTGAAGAGTAGAATTTGTGAGCATATTTTAAAAACCAATACAGGGAATACACAGTTATGTATTTGGGAATGACTTTTTTACATTTCTCAATAATAACATGTATTATCCTAATACTGACTGAACATGTAGCTTTCAAATGTGTTGCTTGAAGTCTTAAAGAGTATAGATTTTTCACTTTATTATCAATGATTTCCAGTCTTTCGAGACATTCCGGTTTGTGCCTCAAGGGATATTGTTAAATTAAGGAGTGCAAAATTTTAATTCACCATATACTTCTCTGCCTATTCCTAAAGTAAATATTTGAGTGTTTTCTGTATGTTTCAGCATGCTGCTAGGCCCTGAGGATAGAAAGATGAGTAAGACAGGGTCTCTTCCAACAATGAGCTCACAGTTAAAACGAGAGACAGGCATATAAGCAAAGTGTTTGTGACAAGCAAAATATATAAGGCATGGTGGCAGTACAAAGAGGAGAATGGGTAACTATTTGGTCAGGTTAGAGAAAGCATAGCTAAGGGAGAACATAGTCCAAAGCCATAGAGATAAGAAACAGCTTATTAAATTCACAGAATTGGAAGTAGTTTAATATTGCTGGAGGAGTATCTGTGCTTTGCCATAGATGCATTTTATATACATACCCCACCTGGTTCAAAAAATATTTTGAGAAGGTTACTTTGTTCTCTAATGTGGAACCATTGAAAGGCTAGGTACTCATAGTCACATGTATATGCGTACAGTGCATTGTTTTTTATGGGAATTTGTATGAAAATATTAAATAGTAGTAGTAATTGATTATTACTAATCTCATTAACTCACTTATAATTTCATTAATACTTACTGCGTACAGCAAACATGTCTGACAAAGAGCTAAAGAAGCTACGTAATAAACAGAGAAGAGCTCAAAAGAAGGCCCAGATAGAAGAAGAGAAAAAAAATGCAGAAAAAGAAAAGCAACAGAGAAACCAGAAAAAGAAGAAGGATGATGATGATGAGGAAATTGGAGGTCCAAAAGAAGAACTTATCCCTGAGAAGCTGGCCAAGGTAGTTAATAATAGTTTTTAGCACAACTGAGTAAGAGTCACTTTTATACTGTCTTATTTGACCAATTTAATTATAGACTTTAGAACAAAAAATCATTTTAATTTTAGTATTTTTTTCTTCTTTTCTTTCTGTTCATATTTGACGTCTAAAACTTGAAATAATGATCCTGGTCCACAGTAATCTCTAGTGGTGTAGTATACAAAGTAGTCCCCAATTTACGACAGGGTTCCATTCTGACGATTTCTTTGTGTTGGTTCTGACATGAGTCAAATAGGGCTTTTTTTTTTTTTTTTTAGTATCTTTATAAAACTGATCTTTGAACGTCCCTGAGTATGGTAACATCAGCAGATTAAGCACTGCAACATTGTATGTAGTACATATTACTTACAATAAAATGTACCAAAAAAAAAAAAAAAGACGGTCCTAAGTGTGGTTTGTTGTAACTTGAGTACATCATAAGTCAGGGACTGCCTGTAGTAGAAAAAGTTTTGGCTTTCGAGTCATTTTGGTCTGGGCCTAGATGTCAGCTCTGACACTTTAGCTACATGACCTTGGACACTTTGTTTAACCTCTCTGATGGTTTCCTCATCTATAAAACGGAACTAACAGTCTCTACTAGGCAGAGGTGTGAGGATTAGAGAAAATATACATGTAGAGCAGCTAGTGTCTGTTAAAGTGTAACATGCAAGTTTTATTTTTTTAACCTAGGCTAAATTGAGCTTGTTATAAACTAAGGATTATATGCGTATCTCTCGCTAAATCATGTTTTCCATTTACAATACTTCTTTACTGGACTTTCCCATTTGAAGTTAATATTTAATAGTTCCTAAATATTTTCTCCAAGTCAAAATCTGATCTGCCGTTTTTAACCATCAAACTGAAACTGGGATATTCATTGTCATTTTGAGTAATAACTTACCTATATGCTTTCTTCTGACCCTTCACATCCTCTTATTCCATCTCCAAATACTTGCAGAATTTATTACGTTAAAGCAATATAGTAAGCACATGGCCCTAAAGTTCAATTTTATCCTCATTAGTAACTAAAAATTCAAAATTATTTGCTCAACTGCTTTATAACTAAGAGAAATTATGATACCAGACAAATAGAGCTGGAAAATGTTTTTAAAAGTGTATCAGAGCAGGTGGATAGTAACATCATATAGACATAGCAGCACTGCCATAAGAAACAGATTTTCAGAAGGGTATACCTTCTAGGAACAGGGATACTAACTTTTTAGTGTTTAGAGTGTATTGGAAGAATACACAGAGAGTGACAAAGCACAGAAAATTGACCTGTTAGGCCTCAGGGAGAATTGCAAAGTCATTCAGAGCACGGCAACTTTAGGGGCCTTCCATCTTCGTGTCTCACCTTTCTTTATTACTACTACCACCACTGTCACTGACTGCCTGCCACATCAGTTTTTCTGCTTGCTTTCCCTCTATCCCATGACTTACTTCTTTGTAACTCTTCTTGTCTTGCATTATTACTCTTAAAGAAAGGATATGTTTGGATTGTTTAGTCACTGTCTTTAATAAAGAGTACCTCTGCAGAGCAAAATTCTTATATTGGGGCACCTTACAGACTCTTTGGCTTTCCTTGTGTCTGACCTATAATGATTGCTTGTGGGCCAGATGTCAGCTGTGGACTAGTTATTTGTAGCTATGGTTGTGGAGTTTTCAGAACAAAATAATGACTACAGAAAGTGCTTCTGATTGCTTTGTTTGTATGAAGCCTAGTAGAAGGCACTCTGATTTATTCAGTATATACTATTCTCACACTTCTCTTCTTTGGCCAACTGATTCCAATATGCCCTCGTCTAATAGCATCCACACTTTCCAATGTGGTGGCAATGCCAAATTACACTAAGCCATCATAACCAGGGGTGGAATTGAAGACTCTTCTAAAAATCTGCCTGCCAAGACTGAGTCTACAATCTCTAGTTGCTTTTTAGTGATCCTGAGATCCGCATCCTTCCATGTATTAAATGGCAAATTTAATGTCATCAGTTTAGGATAACATATAAAAAATAATGAGCGAAATTAAAGCATTATTAAGTTAGCAGTAATTCCAGTTAAGAGAATAGGAAGATGGGAAAGGATTTAGTTAGTAGTTTAATCTGAGATCTTGGTGGAAGCTGAATCACTTGTTTCTGCAATTTATCATGAGGTAGTAGTTGGTATTTTTGATTTTCTTCATGCATCACCCATTTCATGTTCCTCTTTGCCTCCAGCCACCAAGCATCTCACCTGCTTTGTGTTTTATTTTTTCCTTCTTGCGCACATACATCTTCCTTATCAAGGGCTGTGAGTCCTTGCAGTTCTGCCTGTATATGGTTATAATAGTTTTCAACTTTTTTGCTATGCTGGGAGTATAGGGATTATATTGTATTCCTATCTTAATATGGAGATTAGATTTCAGGTCAGTTTATGAATTAAAAAATGACAGATAAGCAAAACTGCCCTTTTAAAATAATTTATTATATTTTTTGTTGTTGAGAATATACATAGTAGAACATACCCCAGTTCAACAATTTCTGCATGTACAATTCAGTGACATTGATTACCTTCTGTGAGTTGTGCAGCCATTCTCATCCTCCTTTTCTGAGTTGTTTCTCCCCCATTAACTCACTGCATACTATGCTTCCTGTGTAATCTTTCGAGTTGCTATTGTAAATTTGATCCTATATAAATAGTTCTTAAAACAGCACAATGCTCAAGGCAGACGTTCTCTACTTGGAAGTGTTTTAAATTGCACGTCAACCACAGTGCAATCCCACTCTACATGTATTTAACTTAAGGTAGTTTGAACTCTTCATAACTGGGTGTAATTTTTTTTTTTTTTTAAAGCGAGACAAAGAAGAGTATCCATAATACTGACAATTCCATCCGATATTCCACTCAGTAAATGTTAACACCCCATCTTAGTATGAGATGGGGAGGTATGACTGCCATTTGCTTAGTCCATCTCAGTTCTTATGTGCCTCTCATGGTGTGAACACATTGCTACAGTGATTGTGATTTTGGTACTTAAAGATGGTTTTCATAAACATACTGTAAACTAGTAGCATTGTATATTCATATGTATGTATATACATATGTACATACACACACAATTTAGGGACTTTTCAAGGGTAGTTTTGACAATATTTTTGTTTGTTTTAAGCATTGATTTTAGAAAGTCATTCCTGAGTAAGATGCAATACTACTGTGTATGCACTTCTGTGTATATAACCCTATACTGTATTACAAGTGTGTAAACATAGAATATAGTTAGCTTGTATTGTGGGTCATGTGCGTATATTAAAATAGTTGGATTTAGCCTGACAAAATCTTACCTATGTGAGGGTCACAGAAACTGAGAGAACATGTAGGAACAACAGACCCAGATATCCTTTAGGGACATATGTTCTCATTTATTGGAATTACAGTTAATTTTTATAGCATTGGAACATCTTCTGACATAGGGCCAGAAGACGAGTCCCTCAAGTTGGAAGGCACTCAAAGTACAACTGGGGAAGAGCTGCCTCCTCAAAGTAGAGTCGACCTTAATGACATGGATGGAGTAGAGCTTTTAGGTCCTTCATTAGCTGATGTGATATGACTCAGAATGAGAAGAAACAGCTGCAGACATCCATTAATAATCAGAATGTGGAATGTATGAAGTATGAATCTAGGAAAATTGAAAGTTGTCAAAAATGAAATGGAATGCACAAAGATGATATCCTAGGCATTAGCTGAAATGAACTGATGTTGGGCATTTTGAATTGGACGATCATATTGTCTGTGTCAGGAATGACAAATTGAAGAGGAATGGCATTGCATTCATCATCAGAAAGAACATTTCAAGACCTATCCTAAACTACAACGCTGTTAGTGATAGAATAATATCCCTGTGCCTACAAGGAAGACCAGTTAATATGACTATCATTCAAATTTACACACAGACCACTAATACCAAAGATGAAGAAATTGAAGATTTTTTACCAGCTCTGCAGTCTGAACTTGATCAAACATGCAGTCAAGATGCATTGATAATTACTAGTGATTAGAATAGGAAAGTTGGAAACAAAGAAGATCGGTAGTTGGAAAACATGGCCTTGGTGATAGAAATGATGCCAGAGATTGCATGATAGAATTCTGTAAGACCAATGACTTATTCATTGCAAATACCTTTTTTCAACAACATAAACCAGCAACTATACATGTGGACCTCACCCAATGGAATACACAGGAATCAAATCGACTACATCTGTGGAAACAGATAGTGGAAAAAGCTCAGTATCATCAGTCAGAACAAGGCCAGGGACTAACTGTGGAACAGACCATCGGTTGCTCATAAGGAAGTTGAAGCTGAAGAAAATTAAAACAAGTCCACAAGAACCATGGTACAACCTTGAGTATATCCCACCTGAATTTAGAGACCATCTCAGGAGTAGATTTGAACTCATTGAACACTAATGACCGAAAACCAGATGAGTTGTGGAATGACATCAAGGACATCATACATGAAGAGGTCACCAAAAAGATAAGAAAGAAAAGAACAAAACACATCAGAAGAGACTCTGAAGCTTGCTCATAAAGGTAGAGTAGCTAAAGCAAACCAGAAGAAATGATGAAGTAAAAGAGCTTAACAGAAGATTTCAGAGGATCGCTTGAATAAACAAAGTATTACAATGAAATGTGTTAGAAAACCAAAGGGGAAGAACACGTTCGGCATTTCTCAAGCTGAAAGAACTGAAGACAAATTCAAGCCTCGAGTTAGAATACTGAAGGATTCTATGGGTAAAATATTGAACGGCACAGGAAACATCAAAAGAAGATGGAATACACAGAGTCACTGTACCAAAAAGAAATGGGTGTCATTTGACCATTTCAGCAGGTAGCATATGATCAAGGACCGATGGTAATGAAGGAAGAAGTCCAAGTTGCCCTGAGGCATTGGCAGAAAACAAGGCTCCAGCAGTTGGACGGAATACTAATTGAGATGTTTCAAAAAATGGATGCGGTGCTGGAAACGCTCCTTTGTCTATGCTCAGAAATTTGGAAGATGGCTACCTGACTAACCGACTGGAAGAGATCCATATTTGTGCCCATTCCAAGAAAAGGAGATCCAACAGAATGTGGTGATCATTGAACAATATTATTAATGCTACACACAAGTAAATTTTGCTGAAGATAATTCAAAAATGGTTTCAGCAGTACATCAGCAGGGAAATGCTAGAAATTCAAGCCGGATTCAGAAGAGGATTTGGAATGAGGGATATTATTGCTGATGTGAGATGGATCTTGGCTGAAAGCCGAGAATACCAGAAAGATGTTCACCTGAATTTATTGACTATGCAAAGGCGTTCAACTGTGGATTACGACAAGTTATGGATAACATTTTGAAGAATGGAAATTCTAGAACACTTAATTGTGCTCATGCAGAACCTGTACATAGACCAAGGGGATACTTTGTGATTTAAAATCAGGAAAGGTCTGCATCAGGTTTATCATTGCATTGTACTTATTTAATCTGTATGCTGAGCAGATAATCCGAGAAGCTAAACTGTGTGAAGAAGAATGTGACATCAGGATTGGAGGAAGACTCGTTAACAACCTGCGATATTCAGATGACACAACCTTGCTTGCTGAAAGGGAAGAGGACTCAAACGACTTACTGATGAAGATAAAAAACCACAGCCTTCAGTATGGATGACATCTCAACATAAAACAAAAATCCTCACAACGGATCAGTAAGCAACATGATAAAGGGAGAAAATATTGAAGTTGTGAAGGATTTCATTTAACTTGGATCCATAGTGAACACCCATGGACGCAGCAGTCAAGAAATCAAACAACGTATTGCATTGGGCAAATCTGCTGCAAAAGACCTCTTTAAAGTGTTAAAAAGCAAAGATGTCACTTTGAGTACTAAAGTGCGCCCGAGCCAAGCCATGGTATTTTTTTTCCGCCTTATATGCATGTGAAACCTGGACAATGAATAAGGAAGACTGAAGAAGAACTGATTCCTTTGAATTATTGTGTTGGCAAAGAATATTGTATATACTGTGGACTGCCAGAAGAATGAACAAATCTGTCTTGGAAGAAGTACAGCTGGAATGCTCCATAGAAGCAAGGATGGCAAGACTTCATCCCGGGTACTTTGGACATGTTATCAGGAGGAACCACTCCCTGGAGAAGGACATCATGCTTGGTAAAGTAGAGCGTCAGCACAAAAGAAGAAGGCCCTCAATGAGATGGATTAATAGAGTGGCTGCAACAGTGTATTCAAACATAGCAATGATTTTGAGGGTGGCACGGGACCAAGCAAGCAGTTTTTCGTTCTGTTGTACATAGGGTTGCTATGAGTCAGAAATAACTTGACGACACCTAACAACAGAAGTTTTTCCCTTTTTTTTTTCCTTCAAGTTTAAATGCTTCGTTTTAGTAAGTATGATGTTTTGTTTGTATTGATTCCTCTTTACTGTATTGCTTATTGTCTCCATTTTGAAATAGCAGTCATAGCTCCTTGATAGTAAATTACCCTGGTTGACAGAGTGACCCTCAGTTTAGTGTCTCATTTCAGTAACACCCTAGAGACATGAAAAGCATGATACAGCTGGGTGGTAATTTTAGTTTTCACTTCTCTACTTGTTCCTGGTAGAAATATTTCTCCTATGTAAACCACAAATTCCAACCCAGTAGAACATGAAGTTATGGGGACAGGAAGTAAAACATTTAAGAATGTGTGAAAAAAGGCATATTTATGAGGGCCCTATCTTCTCTGTTTCTTGGTTCCTCATTCTGTAGCTATTAGAGTGATGGTGTCATATGTTGGTTTCTGATATAGAGCATGTATCCTTGAAAAAAGCACCATCTGGAACTGTAACTGGGTTTTTAAACGATTTTTTTATTGTTCGGTACAGCCATCTGCTTATACTCTGGGGCAAGGTGAATCCCGTAGATAATGCACATTAGGACAAGGTGAATCCCAGAGACAGTTCGTTGCTCAACTTTCTTTTTTTAATGCTATGAAATAATTTCTTTTGCCAGACACTGTGTTGGTAGAACCATAATTACTAGCAGAGACATGTTGGACAGGTATGGCAAATCCAAATTCCATTGAGTGTACATTGTTATTGCTTCTGTGATAGAAGACATTTAATACAGAACTCAGATATTTTATGACCTTCAGATTACTATAGTGTTGTTCCCCCTCCCCCTAGTCTACAATGCCCCGTCCAGGAGTATAACAATTATGTGGTAAACATTACATCTGCCTGTAATGATTGCAAGTATATAGTTAATATGACATTTATATAATTACTAAAGGGTTGGTAGGAACAGAGTTCTGTAAATTTATCTTTTTAAATGCCATCACACCTTTAGTATGGCATTTAATAACTATGCATTTCTGTAGAATTTGTAGTGGAACAAAGCAGGACAGAATTGATATTGCACTATTTTGAACAGCTTAATTACACTCTACTTTGTTTGAATTTATAAAGATTGTTTGCTTTTGTGTTCTCTATAGTTTCTTCCCTACCCTATTTTCATCCTATTTCGCATCCCTTTTCTTTGTTTTCTTTGCCATCTTACCTGTTTTTCTTATTGTCTTTTTTCCCGTGGTTGTCTTTTTGGTTCTTTTTCATTGGACAGCTTCTGTTCAGAGATACTATGTGATCTCTGTGGTTAAAAAGCCAGTGAAGAATTGTAGAGTTCAAAGTCCCTCTCCTTTAGATTAGGAGAAGTTAAAATATGACAGTGTATTTTTGGGTGACTGGTAAATGATTTTGCAAAAAAAAAAAAGAAAAGTTTTTATAGAATAATATCACACTCCCCAAAAATCTTGCTTCCATTTGTATAATATCTTTTATTTTTGTTAGGTTGAAACTCCATTGGAAGAAGCTATTAAATTTTTAACACCGTTGAAGAACTTGGTGAAGAACAAGATAGAAACTCATCTTTTTGCCTTTGAGATTTACTTTAGGAAAGGTAGGCAATTAGGGTGTAGTGGCTCTGATAAAATTGATCACCCAGCTCTGATAGCCTCACCACTGGAGAATTTTTTTGGCAAATGCCATGCAGCTTCTTCACAGAAATGCCTGCTGTGTACAAAATGTTTGTGGGGAGGTACAAAGATACAATTACTTCTTCAAGCACACTAAAATCAACTATGGATTAATGTATGTAACTAGAATTTAAAGTTGAAAAGGTAATTACCATGTAAGTAGTTCAGTCAAGGCTTTAGGAACTGGTAATTGGGTGGATAAAATTAGTTAATACATGTAGAGCTTAGAACAGTTTCTGACACATAGTAAGCATTAAATAAATGCTAACTATTATTAGCTGTTGTTATAAATGGAAGATGTGATCTTTGAGCTGTATCTGGAAGGATCAGATTTGTAAAGTTGCATAGAAGGGGAGAGCATCAGTTAAGAAAACACAAATATATGTAAATAATGTTGAGGTTGTCCATATTGCCTGGAGCCAGGGAAAAGATAAATGAAGGATCTCATTTGCCAAGTTTAGAATGCATAAACTATATATAGTAGAAAATGACATACCAACAATCATGAAAATGGCACAGGACTTGGCAGCATTTCATTCTGTTGTGTATAAGCTTGCCACGAGTTGGAGCTGACTCGACGGCAACTGACAGCAGCAACAGAGAAGATTTTACCGTATCGAATTCATATAATCCAAGTGGTTTGTTGAAAAAAATACATCATTAAGGTGATGCATATTTAAGGAGAAACTAGATAGTAAGAGCAAATAGAAGATTGTTGTGTAAAACAGTGTAAATATACTACTGAAAAAGCTCAAACCTGTTGCCGTCGACAGAATAAAACTGGTCCCTGGTCCGTAGGGTTTTCAAGGAGCATCTGGTGGGTTCCGGTTTGCATCTGTAGCTCTTAACCCCTGCACCACCAGAGCTCCATACTACTAAAGGAAGATTGAATAAAATAATACCTCTCTTTACAGGGTATCCATTAAAAGTTATGTTTGTTAAAAGTAATAATGTTGGGAAAAAGTTACTATATAACATTGTTTCAAAAAAAACTACTTCGGTCTTATTTTAGTTTTTGTTATTATACTTAACAGTATGTAAATAGAGAAGTGACTGGAAAGAAATAGATTAAAAAGTAACAGAGATTGCCTCTTGATGAAATTTTGAGTGATTAAAATATTTTCTACTGTACATTCTGTTTTCCCCAATGATTATGTTCTAATTTGAAAAACGAAGTTTATTAAATAGTCCAGTAATTTTCAGGCTTCTGTTTTAACAGTTAATACCTCTCCCCTTTTAAAAAAGATTCATAAGACTTCGAAGTACAGTTACTGTTTAAGGGCAGATTTCCATTCATCAAGCAGAAGCACTGCTAAAGCTTGGGAAGGATGGGAGGTGAAGGTGGCAGGTAGCACAGAGAGAGATTAAAGAATCACTGAGAACATAACCTTGGTGAATACCCCACCTTTAGAAGGGGAAGAAATTGACAGGAAGGTGACAGAAGAGGAACAGTCAAGTAGGAGGGAAACAATTTCACATGTCACAAAATATAAGAATGGCCACATTTTCAAGCACACACCATGAGATTTTCTAAGTAGTGGCAAGGTGGGGAAAATCTCTTTATTTTTATTTAAAAAGGTTAGGAAATGAAATGACTTCAAATTTCGTTTCTTTGTTTACATGGCATTAGTTTAAATATTGCTGAATGCTATCTAAATTTTTTATATTTTATAAACAATATTAGTTAATGTTGCTAATTGGAAGAAATAGTTTGCTTCAACTATTTGTGTTGCAGTTTAGATGTGACTGACTCTGAATTTAGTCTATTTGTAAGGTCCTTCCAAAGGAGGACATCTTATTTTATCAAATGATCAAAATATATCTTACTTTTTCTTTTTGTAGAAAAGTTTCTTTTGATGCTACAATCAGTAAAGAGGGCATTTGCTATTGATTCTAGTCATCCGTGGCTTCATGAGTGTATGATTCGCCTCTTTAGTACTGGTATGTTTTTGTTTTCCATTACTTAAGTATTTGATTATAGTAGTTGTTAGTGACTGTATAAGTGATATGTACACATTTATCATAAATTGAATCCTTTTAAAGTTGTTGAGTATTAAGTTAGCTGAGGGAACAGTGGGGCTTTTCTTTGTGATCAAGGTCTTTAAGGCTGGAAATGTTACCTGATTTTGACATAGAATTGTTGAGTCCAGATATTTGAGAATCAACTTTGTTTCTGTTTCTAAAAAGTTACATGGAATTGAGGTTTTGAATCATATTTCATTATGTTTACAGCTTCTTATTAAGTAGTTTTAAAATTGAAGAATCTCTTTGTAGTGACTGTCCCCTTATTTACCTTTTGTAGAGTCATCTCCTTATTTATCTGTTTTACAGGTCTGAATTTACATGAATCAGGTTTACTTAGCACAGTTCTTTGAGTCATAAAATTTTTTGTTGCTAAAAATAGGTTAAAGAAACTTTATGACAATTACCTGTGCTTTTTTAATATTTTGATAATCAGATCCGTATGTTAATTCTAATGTGAAGTAGAACCATAGAATTTTAGAGCATGAAAGGTAAAACTTTATTCTAATTATTTCGTTTTATAATTGAGGAATCTGGGACCCGAAAAGGTTAAATTACTTGTTCCAGGAAACATAACAACTTAGTAAGAGCCCAGGTCTTCATACTGCTCTTTCCAAATAAAGTACCTCTGTAGTCAAGTAGTGTTGTTGGTTTTTTCATTTTTAAGTGACAGAAGAAAGAGCAATTGAATTCTCTTCTACATTCTACAGAATTTGGAAATACTAAATTATCTTATTGCCAAATCTAAACTCCGTATGAAGCCATACGTTATATAAATTGATTAAATTAAACCAGGCACCCCAATTATTCTTTTGAAAAATGCTCTAAATTGCCCCAATTAAGAAAATTGCTTTAACTTTTAACAAAAAGTAAAGTTTCTTTAAATTATATTTATGCTTGTCAAAAAATGATTTCTGAGACTGAATCAATTTTTTTAAAATTCTAAAAGTATTAAATAATATAATCATGTTACAGAAAAGAATTGCTGTATTTAGAGAAAATAAGTTTCTTTTTAGACTTTTCTTTTTTAAACTTTAAAATCATGAGTCCTAGAAAATTAAGTCTAGAACAGATAGTTTTAATCCATTCTGTTAGAATGGAATGCACTTAAACTATTTTTAGAACTAAGATACACACTTTATACATTAGATTCTTTCTTGAAAGGTAATAAAATAATACATATAAGCCCAATGGAGTTGGAGATTTCCTTTGAAATATAAATTAAAAGTGGCATATTTAAATTTATTTGATTGTAATGAGTATATGGATTGTAATGAGTGTATGCATTGTAACGAGTGTATGTTGTTTCAGAAAATTAAAATGCCTAAGGACTTATAGAGGGTCAAAGACAGATTGGTTTTGATGTAAAAGTTACATTTATTGAGTGTCTGCCCTGGCTATGCCCATTGCTCCAGATGTTCAGCTGAAATCATTTTCAGGAAAAGACTTTACAAACTGATTCTTTTATGGACTGAATTTAGGCAATGAAAGCAGTGATTATTTGCAGTGGTAAAGATGTACTGTCCCTTTGAAAAGCCTTTAAGAAATTGAGTAGACTGCTTATCATTACCTTTTCAACTTGGTTCTTATAATTCTTTAAGAAACGGGTGTACTGTAAAGACATGTGAAACTATAGATACATAATAGCAGAAATTTCTGTTATACTCTACAGGGTTCTTTTAATTAATATATCTGGTGCTTTAAAACAGATAATTTTAAAGTAATTTTTCAGGAGCATATTTGTCATGTTAAGTTATATTGTATATCAATCAATTATTCAATGATAATTATATGTAGAATATTTTACTTGGATGTGTACTACTCAGAGTTTAGTGTTTTTAAAACTTTGGGTGATGATCCATTAGTGAGATGAGGTCAATTTACTGCGTCATTACCAACATTTGAAAACCTAAAAAAGAAATACAGTAGCAAATAACAGCGTGCGTTGTGAAACTTTTGTTTCATGTAAATAATATAAATAAGGAGCCCTGGTGGCACAGTGGTTAAGTGCTTGACTGCTAACTGAAAGGTCAGCAGTTCAAACCCACCAGCCGCTCTGTGGGAGAAAGATGTGGCAGTCTGCTTCTGTAAAGATTATAGCCTTGGAAACCCTGTGGGGCAGTTCTGCTCTGTCCTATAGGGTCACTATGAGTCGGAATCGACTTGTATGCAATGAGTTTGGTTTCGTTTTGGTATACTGTGTGTATTTACTAGTCACAGTGTAAAAAATATTTGTCATAGTACAAATATTTGGTTGCAGTAAAAGTTTGAAAGCTACCACCATAGTTCCTAACCATATGGAAAATCTATTCATCTTTTCACACTATAACAAAAATAGTAACTACAATTTAACGAATACCTATTATATAAATAGCACTTTTACACAGTAGCTTTCCTTACTGCAGTCCTTCGAGGGTGGATATCACTCTGATTTTGCAGATCAAGAAATAGGTTCAGAGAGGTTGTGACTTGTCCAAGGTAATGGAGCCCAGATCTATACCCAGGTCTGTCTGGCTCCAAAGCTCTAGACTTTCTCTCTATACAAAATATCTATACAATGAAATAAGACATAACTTGAATTTAATCTAGAGGGGTTGAGGTCTACTTTTTCATTTCCAAATCCCAAGGACTGCGAATATGATAACTACGTTGTATTTATTATGAGAAAATGCTTTGGTGGTCTTTTGGAATTTACTGTATAGTGATAGCTCAATTCACATAGCCTCTGAAAATAAGTCAGTGAAGGCAACTTTTTTTTTTTAAACATATATTTGTAGTACCTTACTTGGGTATAGAGGGAAATGGGCAGAGTGAAGGAAACTCTGTTGTCTTTAGCACTACTACATTTTTGCTGTGACATATTACGTGTAGGTGCCATCAAGCCCCTGAGTTGCAGACCCTCTTTAGAGTTGAGGGGGAGCTGCTGTAGGGGTTTAGAAGGCTGTGGAGCTACGTTTCTTTATTTTGTTTCCTATTCCTCTCTGGAAATGAATCCTCTGTCAATGAAATGTCTTTGAATGCCCCTAAAACAAGCATTGTTCTGCTGACACATTCTTTAAATTTATATAGGTAAGCTCTTCTTTAAATGTTCATTTATCGGTTGGTTTTATCTAGTCTTTGTACATGATTGCTGTTTGATTAGCCTCAAGTAAGTAATTTTTGAACTACAAACTTTATTAGAGTATCTAACGCTAAGAGAGTTTGTTTTTTATTTATTCAGCAGTGTGTGAAAGTAAAGATTTACCTGATACAGTTAGAACAGTATTAAAACAAGAAATGAATCGTCTTTTTGGAGCAACAAATCCAAAGAATTTTAATGAAACTTTTCTGAAAAGGAATTCTGATTCATTACCACACAGATTATCAGGTAATCACTTAATTTTGTCCTTATCTTAGCCTTTTAAAATAAGTTCAGGTTTTATTTTAATGAATCAAAGACAAGGTCACCCATTTTTAGCATGGAAAAGGCAGTATTTGTTTATTACATTTTAATCTCATATAAACAGGCAGCTTAAATATGCTTCTTATAAATTTTTTAATTTCTTAGGATTATTACTGTGAATTAAGGTTAGTAGTTTCCCTGGTTCAGCGTTATAAAGAAGCAAGTATGAGTGAATTTAGCTATATATTTATTACATACAATGAAGATGAAGCTTTCTCCCATCAACGTGCTCTTAAAATTCACTTGAGTGTGACTATCATCTTTCATTTCTCATGTTTCTGTAAGGTATCAAACTTGACAATGCTAAACACCTGAAACCATCTCATAGTCAATGAGAAGTCTTTAAGGCACAAAGGTCTATGCCATTGAGCCCAAATCTGGACTTACGGGGCCACGTGGGTAGTGTTTTGGTAGTGTGCTTTTAAAATAACTTCCTAAGAAGCCTAGCAGCTATTACACCTAAGTGGAATTCTAAATTCAGCTTTTTAGCTCATACCATCAAGATTGGGTACCCCCCACCCCAACATTTAATGAAGTATTCCCTCACCCCAAATTATTATGCTCATTCTATAAAGAAAATTATCCATGGCTCCACCGTACAAAAACAAGTATTATTAGAATATTTGGTGTATTTTTTCTTAGTCTCTTTTATTGTGCGTGTTTCTTTTACACATATTTTATATAACAGTGGACAGATGTACAATGTACTTAACCATTCTCTTAGCTTGAACAGTTAGGCTATTTCTGGTCTATCCACCTCAGGATTTTTTTAAATAACAGTTTTTCAAATGGCTGTTCCCATTTTTCTAATAAAGTGCCATATCCAGTGTGCATATACCCCTAGGATGAGATGTTGATTTTACTTTGATATAAAATAAATCTCCTTTTTTCCCTCATTTAGCTGCCAAAATGGTATATTATTTAGATCCTTCTAGTCAGAAGCGAGCAATAGAGTTGGCAACAACACTTGATGAATCCCTCAATAACAGAAACCTCCAGGTAAAAGTTTTTTCATCATCTCTCTTTAAGAGTACCTGCTTCTTTGTTTTTTCTCTTTTCAACAAGGGAATAATTTTTACTGAGAAATACTTTTTTTGTTATTCATGTATACTAGTCTCCAAACCTTTGTGAATCTGAGTCAGAAACTTACCTTATCTTAAATTCATTTAGGATTGGGGGTGGGGAGGGCATTTGTTAACTAGTTTCACATCTGTTACTCAGAACAATTTTTTAGAACGGTTTTAGTAAAATCATATATACATTCCATAGTTATTTTTTATTTTAATTCCTATCTATGTGTTTCTGAGCAAGAAGTGGTCTCAGTAAAGATTCTGACATATTTTAGACATGTCGTTTACAGTGAGTTATATTAAAATATTCATTTATAGCTTGAAATGTAATGAGATTAAGTAGAATAAAAGATAATATGGATGTGTTACAAAATATGGATTCTACTTTAGACTAAAAGGACAGAGACTGTATGTGAGATAATTGGCCAGATAAAAAAAGTACTTATGAAAGACAGTTAAACAAAACCCTTTGAAAGCAAATTAAGGAAACATCTTCTTGAAAGAAAAAAATTTGACTTGCTGTTTGCTAATTAGTACATCATTTAGATTAGAACCTGGATTTCTAAACTGGCTGAGTTGGCAAGGTATTATATATCTGGAAACTAAGTAGTGTTTTCCAAGTGAAAAGAAAGAAAACATGGGAGGTACAGGTCAACGTGAATCATTTCAAAGTATGAGAAGCAGACCTATTTGGGGACTTGATTGAAAGAATTGCCACTTCTCCTGAGCCAGTTTGATTTTTCTTGCATATATGCAGTTTTGTATTTGAGATACTCTTTTCTGCTTAGTTACCGGACATGTCTTAAGATTCTCTTTCATTTGAATAAAAGATTGAAAACAATCTTTGATTTTGCAGACTGGGATTGGGCATCCAGAAAATATTAAAAGGCATAAGTGCAGTAACTGACTTTGTAAAGTTTGACGTTTATATCCAGGGCCAGGTTTGGCTGGGGCAAGGGTGCAAAACTGAAGGAGGTGCTCACTCTCAGGGTTGTGCCCTTGGTAAGGATGAGTGCCTCCTTAAGTATAGCATGGCTGACACCTCACTTGCCTAACCCTAATCCCGGCCCTAGGACTTTATACATTCATCGTTTTGTATAAACCCTGCGCTTCTGAAGAAACAGTTAAATTAGGCTTTGAAGCACATTCTTATGTGGGAGTAAATGATTTTTGTAGATGCTTTTGTGGGAGTAAATGCTTTTGTAAATATGTGTATTTATCCCTTATTTTGGAAATCTACTGATGTTACTGAAATGTCTAATAAATTCACAGTAAAAAAAATTTTTTTTTTAACAAGTTATAACATGACCTTTTTTCTCTCTTTAGACATGTATGGAGGTATTAGAAGCCTTGTGTGATGGTAGCCTAGGAGACTGTAAAGAAGCTGCTGAAGTTTATAGAGCAAATTGTCATAAGCTTTTCCCTTATGCTTTGGCTTTCATGCCTCCTGGATATGAAGAGGATATGAAGATCACAGTTAATGGAGATAGTTCTGCAGAAACTGAAGAACTGGCCAATGAAATTTGAACATCATTAAACAAGCAAATGGAATGATTTTGGACCATATCTAGTGTATAATATTTTTGTCACGCACCTGCTGCATTGCTCTAACTTACACAGAATGAGAGGAGTAAATGTTCTTGCCTTCAAATAGTGTTTTACTTTTCTTATCCTGCTGAAAAAGTATATATAAAATATCTAACATATTACAGGATATAGGTTCAGTTTCTTAAACAATTAAAAGCTGCTAAAATTGAGGGGTTAAAAAAAAGATGTCCTATTCCTACCTACGCATCCATGTTTTTAAATTAATTTATATAAAATCTGGAGGCTGTTACAGCTAACAAAGCAGGTGTGTGGCAGAAATATTACTTTAAATTTGTCTTGTGAGATTTTACTATATCTCAGACAGCATAAATGCTGTTTCAGCACTGGATTCTTTCACTGAGCACAAAGAGTTGTTGGGGCTTTAGCATCTGACTGATTTTGTTATGGGATTGATTCTGACCATAGGAAGTATGAAATGTGAATCACTATTTACAGAGAAACCTACAACAGATGCTTGATGTTGTAGAAACTGGGACATATAGATACCAAGCAGAATTAACTAAGAAACCTAGAGGGTGTTCAATATGCTTGTTGTGTTTTCAAAATTCACTGTACATGATCAGTTTGGTGTTCTTGTACCACAGTTTTTAACTGAAGGAACCAGTTGGAACAATCTCAATTTTAACTAAAACTTGAAGAAATAAAAAATAACAATGCAAACCTTTCAGCATTGTTTTGGCCAAACTTGTTAAAACTGTAATGCAAGAACCAAATGCACTGTGATGTGGCACCAACTAATTAGCAAGCATGAATTTTCACCCCAGAGTGAAAAAAGAAAATCTACCACGGCTTGAAGTTACAGAGCAGAACTCCTGGCTACCATTCTATGACTGATCAAGAGACTAATAGTTAAAAACCTCAGCAGGCCTTGTTCACGATATGCAGAAAAAAAAGTGCTGCAGTTTAGATACCTCTGGAATTTTTCCACAGTGTCACAGGTTTGTAATACTTGAAGCCCTACATTTCTAAGAATATATTTCTTGCTCAGTTGTTTCAGGCAAGCCCAAGACTTTGTAATTTTTAAAGGGCCCAAGATTTTTTTTTTTCAATAACAGACCAGCTTCTTTTTCCTGCAGTTACAGATGTAATTTCCTTTTTGTTGTCAAATATAAGGTACCAAATATGATGCAATAAATTGTTTTGAAAAACAGTTGTGTGAATATTTCAACTAATCTGTGTTGGGCTTCTGTGAAAATACACAGGTGGAAACAGAGGTGTAAGCTAGAGGCAGTGTAATGTGCTGTAAAGTTAACCTATTGATGCATTATGGCTAGTAGTGCAGATAAGAGCTTTTCAGAATGGGCTAATGCTGGTGTCAGGGCAATTCCATGATGCAAGTGCAGTGCTGCTCCTGCATTAAGATTTCATTGAGGGCTAGGATGGTGGCAGGTACTATGAATGTAATTCATGATTTGAAAGGAAAGCTGAAAACTGCTATTTTGGTTGAGAAAATGAGCCTTAACATTTTAAACCTGTACACTGAAAACTAGTCTCAGGCTCAGTGTTCTCATTACATTTGCAGGCTCTGAGCAAGTAAGATGATTGAGTAAAAACAAATCAACTGTATATATAACTGACCTTTTTCTGGTACTTTTAGTTATAGAAAGTATAAAGAGGGAATTTTCAAGAGACTTTATCCTTTTACTGACTGAACAGTTGTGCTAAAAATCAACCTTTCATAGTACATGACTGTATCCCACATCCCAGTCTAACAATTTAGTCATGTAAAGAGAAGTACTAAACTGAACTCCAGTGCTTTGTTATATTTTATTAACTGGCCCTGTCTCAGGAACATCTTTACAGATGGCAAAAAACAAAAACAAAAAAAAAAAAAACCTCTTTTTCAACTTCTCCTATGAGTGGCAACTGAAGTTCTTATTGTTGGGAAAGAACACTAGTGCTACCTCTGCCACTAATGAGGTGTTTGGAGGAGGCACCAGCCGTATAATGGAGGTGTGCGTGTGAATTATGTTTAAACTCTACTGTATATTGAAATTCATATATTTGTCTTGACAATGTTCAAATGATGTAGATTGTCTTAGAATGAATATTCACAAGTACTCAGAACTCTTGATGCAGATGCCATATTAAGGAGCTAAATTCCTAACATGTATATTGTATTTCAACCCAATTTTACTGGAACTATTGAATAAATCTTTTATTTTCTTTCAGGTTTACTTGATAGTGGATACATTGTCTGGTGTCAGAGGACCTTGGCTGGGTTTATTTTATGTCCAGACATCCCCCCTCTAAAACATTGTACTGTATTCTCCTGCTCTTGAGTAGAATTAACTGGATCATCTCACATTTGTCTCATTCATTCTATTAATTTAAAATGCTTCTGGGAGAAAAACAGGGTTAGAAAAACACATGGAAAAAATGGAGTGATGTAATCTAAACAAGTGCCTTATGTTTATTGCTAAGAACTGGTGTTATCAGCCCTTTTGAGAAGAAAGGGTCCCTTGACCTGTATTAACATAGGAAAGTAAAGTTCTTTTTGTTTTTCTTTATATTCAACTACTCTTGTCATTTCTCATTTAAAAACATATCCAGCTAGGTTAGTTTACTCTGATTTAATTAGATAGTTGCCATAAATTTTAACATTTTTCTGTATTTATTATGCACAAGAATAAAGTGTGATCTATATTAGCATGTCTAAAAGTAGTCCCAATATTAGTGAATAGCTTTTCTCTGGGCTTTATCAGGCCCTTGTTTTTCAGTGTTGTTTGTACTCCATGGTGTATTGCTGTTAGAGCTGTGACATGAAAGCTGTGACTTTATGAAGAGGCCAAGAAAGTGTGGTCTAGATTCAGGTAGGTTGTGATACATTCAGGGAAGTCTCTCTCCTATACAATTTCTAGGATTATTTCAATTGCCCTGTGCAGCATCTGTTTGGTAAAAGGTAAAAAATGAAGCATTGGACTTCTTTACAAGACAGGTATATATTTGTCTTAGAAAACTATCAGCCCTAAATTTTGAAATTAATCTTAGTAAGGAAATTCAAAGTAAGACTGATCTTTGATGGAAGGCTGTCTTCTTCCAGTTCTAGCATATGGTCAACTTTAAGTTACAAGGCTTCTTGATACCATTGTGCTATCATTTAAACTGCCAAATCTGCTGTCAAACCTAAATTGAAAACCACATTCCTTGAAATGGCTGTATTGCACTCTTGGAAGCAGAAACCTTAAGTTTCGTTCCAGTTTTAATGGTTGAAAATCTCACAACTTGTAGCAATAAAACATTTTTGGAAAAGGTTATTCGTCATTGAATTACATTATTACCTTTCAGTGTGCAACCTATAAGATGTTAAATAAAAGTACTGGTAATGTGCAAGAAGTTGTGGAGAAAAAAGTGCTCTCTTTCAATATAGCAGAAGAGTATCTTTATTACACTGTTCAAAACTACCACCTCCGTCAGGACATACCCCTTCTTGTGATAATATAAAAAAAATAGGCAGAGGGAAAGGGAGCGGTATGTTGTGGGGAAAAAAGGTCGAAAAGTTTCTAGCCTCTCAATGTATCCAATTACCTTTAAAGAGATGCCATCGGCACTGTAGCCAGAAGAAAGAAAAAAGTTGGTACTATTGAAATGAGAAACTTCTACTTGTCAAATATAGACGAGCTTGGAAACAAAAATCTTCAGGGCTCTTTATAGAGTTCTATGTGCCAAAAACAATATGGACTTTGTTTCAAGCCTGCTTATAGCAAAAGTAAAGTTGATACTTCGCAATCTAACAAGATTATACTGTGGTTCTTCAGTTTTTTAAATCAGGCCTTTCTGTGTCTAGAATTTGAGGGTCTGTGTTATTTCATACAGTGGTATAATTCTTCCAAACAGAAAATTGGTGGTGATGAATATATGATAGAGAATTTTCTGTTATAAAAATTTCTGCTGTTGCTCAATCTTCATCTTGGCCTCAATAGTGCAAGTGATCTCCTTCGAAACAACATAGAAAGTGAAGAGATTTTTGGACTATCTTCTGGATCCCATGGCTTGCTTTCAGCTAATAATTACATTTACCTCGCATATTTAATTTCCTGTGTGCTGTCTAACAGAAAGGGAGCCCTGGTGCCGTAGTGGTTAAGTGCTCAGCTGGCTAACCGAAAGCTTGGCAGTTCGGACCCACCAGCCACTTTGGGAGAAAGATGTGGCAGTTGGCTTCAGCTCTGCTTTACCCTGTAGGATCCCTGTGAGTTGGAATCCACTCCCTGGCTTTTTTTTTTTTTTATTTTTTTTAATAAGAAACTTCTCTCAGTACCATTTTATGGTTATCTTCCCAATCTACCATAGTTTCCTAACATTGGACTTTTGTAAACTTGCTACTTGTTTACTTTGACCTGCAGGTTTATCGGGTCCATTGTCTAGTGTTTGATGCCTCGACACAAATAGGATAGGAGCTGGGTTTTCTAAAGCGTTCTTCCAAAACCATCTCTGTTTCTTCATTAGTGAAAAGTAAGCAACCATATCTCGTCTTTGAACTACTTATTTGCCTTCAAGTACTCGTACCACTGCTTGATATCTGAAAATTGAAAAGGGCCATTGAAGAAGTAGATAACAAACCTGTCTCCCAAATGCTTCCCTCCCTTAAGTTCTGAACGCTGGAATACTTAACAGTAAAAAAAAATTACTATGCATTAACAATTAGTAACAGTATTCAGAAACATGTTTAACACTACTGTTAACACGTTCTACAGTTCATTTAAAATGATATAAGAACAAGTCAAAACCAGTCCAACTGTTTCATAATTTTTTTTTAAAAGTTTTATTCCAAGAGCTTAAACTCATTACTTACAAGCATTCCATTTCACATAGCATTTTCCATTCACCTGATAGGATGCATTATATTTGAGAGAAATGTCTCATTACAATAAAAAGTTAATGCTTTGGTTTAGACTCATGTAAATCCATTTCTAATATGATGTATGAAATCTTAAGGATTTACACTGGATACATTTTGGTATAAAGATACAGTGACTAGAGCAGCACATGGTAGATACTAAAATCCTTGTTGAATTTGCTGTGAATATTGCCCTACAGTTTGTAGAAAACAGCATTTAGTACTACTAATTTTCAGGTCACCTGCAAACGCTCACAAATTTTTTATCCCTTTTCCGTTAATGCTAAATACTCTCCATCTTCCCCTCATTCTCCGCTGGTCTTGTGGTTTTACTGAAAATATCATAGATCCATTGCATTTTATTTAACGTCAAGAATGGGTTTCTCACAGATCCATTGAATTTTACTTAATGTTAAGAATGGGTTTCTCACATCTAATTTTTGTTTTTGTTTTGTTTTTTTCCTTATAGTTTGTCAGAAGGAATGTTGTGACTGGCCTTGTAGGAAGCAGATACCTGGAGGACCATTCTCTTATTTTCTCAGTTGTCTGTTCATTGTGGCATTGGTTGGCAGTGAATCTACTCAACCTTCATGTCATTAGCAACCAGCCACCCAGGTAACATCATGCCCAGCAGAATTAAATTACTACAAGGACTGTCATGCAGTAGTTTTTTGTCTTTCAAAGAGTGTGAGAGGACTGGTAATACACACCATCTACTTGGAAGGTATCCTCTCTTTGAATTATCACAAGTAAGGAGACACTAGGTAGGGATCTGCTATGGGTTTATCTGAACACTTGACCCCCAACCACTGCCTATCACAATCAATTTCTGTAGTCCACAGCTGATCTTCTGTACTTAAGACAGGCATTGACTCCATTAAGTTGTAAACTTAACCGTAGCTATGTATTAGAATCCCTGAGGAACTTTTTTTTTTTTTTTTAAATCTTAGTGCACAGGCCCACCTGCAGGGATTCTGATTTAAATGATCTGGAATCAGGCCCAGGAATTAATGTTTTTTTAAGACGGCGTCAGTAATTCAAGGTACCTTCAAGGTTAAAAACCACTGTCTTTGATGATGAGGTAAAAAATTTTAAATATGGTATAATACTGGTATTTTTCCTCAAGGAGATAAAAGAGGCAAACAACTATGTAAGTTTAAAGAGATTTCCTGTCTTAGTAAAAGTGGAAGAACCTGGATTTGCACCCCTTTCTCGTTAATTAATTTCAAAGTCTGTGCTTTCCCCTGTTTAAATCACCCTGTCACTTCACTGCCTGAGACCGTATTCAGGGGAAAAAATATCACCTCTTCATATTTTTGTTAGATGTCATGGTGACTTGCTTCCATTCAAACAAGCCTTTAAACATATTTGCCATAGGTAGATGTTTGAGTTTTAAGTGGAAGAGTACCATAGCAAAGTAGAGTAAGCAGGCTTTTAAATAAGGATGGGTGGTAGATACTAACTACTCCGGGAAAATACACACCTAGCCACCAGTCAAGTAGATATCCCTTTGTTATCCCTAAAGGACTGTATTTTTCCCTAACAAATGAATCACTATTAAAAATCTCAGATGTAATAGGAGCCATGCCGTTGAAGATTCTAGGACAAACAATTCAAAACTCAGTGTTGGCCTGGTAGTGTAGAAACTGGAAAGGAGATTTACATGCTACAGAGTCACAGCTCAAACTAAAACCCACTTTATGAGATCTATTGATATTATCAACTGGTCATTCTGGATAGAACTCCCAAATCTATCCAATCTAGTATTTTTCTTCAATAAACTAGTGTAAGGATCATGTTAGAGACCAGTCCTCAACTTTATCTAGTTCTTGATTGGTTAAAGAGTATTTGGTAATTGAGTCTGGCTGCATTCATACTGTTTTTCATTAGTCTTGAGTTTAGAGACATGAATAATTTTCCCTCACATTTGCAAACTGGAAAGTCTAAATTGTTTTGGTCTTATCTTCACATAAAAGCCTTGTCTTGCACTTTAGTTACTCTTCTCCAGTCCTTGTGACTCTGAATGTCAAATTTTGTGTGTAAGCATTTTGTGGTTTGGTACAACAGTAGTATAATGTAGTTAACATAAGCTTTTGGGTCAGACAGAACTAGGCCCAAGTCCGGCTCAGGTCCCTTAGACAAGATACTTAGAATGTCTAAGCCTCTGTTTATGAAATGGACATGAATTACTTAGCTCAGAGTTTGTGGAAAGATTAAGATGTAAGGTGATTACCACAGGCCTGAGATATAGTAAATATTCATTATAAATGTTAGTATTTACAGAAGGGTGTTCTTTCCTGTTTGTCGGTATTCTATTTGATTATCCTTATTTGTCTACTGCAGTCATTGGGCCAGTGTATTCAGGAACTAATTTATAATCTTTCGTAGATACTAAAAGCTCAAGTTTTGGCTTTGAAGTTTTTTACTTTATACTTGCTAGTGCTTCACATTATTACGCCTTTTCACACAGTAGAGAAAATCACTTGTAATATCTTCATCATTTTGACATTCATCGAAACCTTTAGTAGTGTTAGCAAACTTGGCAGATTGCATGATACTGTTTAAAATTATTTAGATGATGTGAAATAAAGCCAGTCCAGGTCTGTCTTCCATTCATCCTATAATGGTTGAGTGCCTAGTACCTCCAGGCGCTATACTTCATATTGAGGATATATGACATAGTTGTTGCTCTCATGTTTTTCACAGGCTGGTAAAGGAGGAAGACAATTCAAGAAATGATTGCAATAGCAATATATAAACCCCTAGAAGTCAGTACTCATTTATATTTGGATGGACTTCATGGTAGTATATCAGAGCTTCACAAAGAAGGTTGAGCTAAGTTTGGAAAGATAAAGATGAATTTCCCAGGCATGCAAAGGATGGTATGTGCCTAAATTTAGGTAGAGATACGTGAAACAGGATAGTGTACTCAGGGACTTTATGTCGCCTAGTTTGAGTAGAACCTGGGGAATGAGGCTGAGGCTCAAATTAAAGAGAGACATGTGATTCACTAAAAAGGCTGGATGTGGCCTGTGTATGCAAAGGACAGTTGTGGAAGAATTAGGGAAGAATGATAAATGCTTGAGAGAGCATTCTGCTCACATGCAATGGAGGGGCTGGGAATTGAGTCTGCAGGCACCTAGACTCGTCAGGAGGTTTAATAGTGGAGCTGATATTAACTATAAGTCACCGAGTTCTTAACTATGTTCCAGGCAATGTGGTATTTTCCATGCATTTGCTCATTTAATGTTTGTAAAAACTGTATGAGGTAGGTATTATTTCCATTTAACAGAATACTGAGGCTCAAAGAAGTTAAGCTGTAACTTGACCACAGTCACACAGCTTGTAAATGATAAAATCTGGATTCAAGCCCATATGTGTTTAACTCCAAAGTGCTGGCTTCTAACCACAGGACAATAGAGCCTCAGGCGAAAAGTGGTGAGGACAGCAGCAGTAAGTGTGGAGAGGATACAAGAGATGTTTAGGAGGTAGAACTCTTATCACTTGGTTCTGCCTTGAGGGCAGGGGGTGGTGAATGGAAAAGGAAGCGTTAATAGTGATGTCGAGGCTCTGACTTAGCTTAATCCACTGAGCCTTTAATGGTGTCATTACACAGAATAAGAACTGGGAATAAGTTGGGGGGAAGAGACAGTTCCATTTTACATGAATTGTTAGGAGCCCTGGTGGTGCAGTGAATGGTTAAGCGCTCAGCTGCTAACTGAAAGGTCAGCGGTTTGAACCCACCCATTGGCTCCATGGGAGAAAAGACCTGGTGATCCGCTCTCTAGGAAACCCTATATGGCAGTTCTACTCTGTCATATAGGGTCACTGTGAGTTGGAATTGACTCGGCGTCACATAGAAACAACATGAGACATTTAAGTGGTGATGTCTAGTAGGCAGCTAGGTATATGGCTCTGAAACTTAAAAGAGAGTTGACTTTAAAAGTGAGTTGTAAGTGGTGTACCCAGGACAAGACTACCCAGAGAGAGTAAACAAAGATGATGACTCGTAAATACCAGCAAGTAGCTGGAGGAAGAGAAGCTAGCAAGAGAGACCAAGAAGTGGTAGACAAGCTAGAAGTATATGATGGTGCTGAGTGTTCAAAGATTGGTCAACAGGGTCAACATCAAGGTACTATAATTAACACCTATCCGTTTGGTAAAAAATTAAAGTCTGGATATCAAATGTTGACAAGGATGTTGAAAAACAACATAGGGACTCCCAGACACTGGGAGTATAAGTACAATCACTATGGGGACAACTGGCAGTATTCATTTAGTAAAATTAAGCATGTGCATATCCTGTGAACCAGCAGTTCCAATCTTGAGTAATGCCTTTTGGACATTCACACACACTTGCTAGGGAGATGTGTACAGTAATGTTCACTGCAGCATTGTTTACAAAAGCAAAAAATTAGAAATGAAATGTCAACATAAGAGTGGATAAATTGTGCTATATTCATGCAGTGGAATGCTGTGCCGTTGAATAAGCTAGCATTAAGTGAATAAAGTAAGAGAAGTTTAAAAATAAGCTTTGGAATTATAAACACAAAATTTGTGACAGTATTTCTCTTAAGAGGAGGGAAGGGCACATAAGTGGCCTTACCTCTATCTATAAACTTAATTTTTTTATGTTTGGGTTAAATGTAGCAAAATGTTAAGTTTTTGTCTCTTTGTTAAACTACAATATTTGGAATACCTTACTTTTTTTTTAAGTTGAAGAGGTCAAATAATTTTTTTTTTTCTTTTCACTAAAAGTGTGGGTGGACAAAAATAGTGACTAATACTAATTCACTGAGAAAGTGGGGAATTATCTGTAACTGAAACAGATGCTTCTTTGGTTCCTGTATTCTCCCAAAAGACTTATCGAGAATGAACAGAAAATGAAAAGCAGGAAGTTTACCTGCATGTATAACATAATTTGCCAGGAGGAAAAGAGGCTCAGATAATATCTAAAATATTATTACCCTTTGTAATTTCCAAAGTACTTTTCATATATATTATCTCATGTATAGGTATTATTATCCCTTCTTTACAGGTGAAGATAAAATGGCTGAAAGATGTTAAATTACTTGCTCAGGAGTACTCGGCTAGTGGCAGAACTGGGCCAAAGAACCCATATGTACTGATCTTTCCCCTGTGTTGCTCCTTCCATTATCAGCTGGTTGTTCAAGGACATGGAGCTATAGGAACTTGAATCCAGGTTTCTAGTTTCAAGGCAAACTACACTTTTTTCCTGAATCCCACTGTTTTATTCATTCATCCATTCATTTTTTGGTGAAGATGTACTCGACATAACATACATCAATTCAACAATTTGTACATGTACAATTCAGTAACATTGGTTACATTCTTTAATTTGTGCCACTTTGCTTGATACTCTTTTCCAAATTACTTCACCACTCTTAACATAAACTCACTGCCTCTAATCTTCTCATCTAACCTTTTGAGTTGCTGTTGTCTATTTGATCACATATAGCTAATTCTTTAAAAGCACAATACTCAAGGCAAACATTCTTTACTAATTAAGCTAAACTACTGTTTGGTTTAAAAATGACTTCAAGGGATAGTTTTGGTTCAAGGTTTAAAGATTTCTTCAGGGCAGTAGTTTTTTTTAGGGGGGATCATCCAGTGGCAATAGCTCCAGAAACTTTGGATTCCATGAGAATTTGAAATTCTGTTCTACACATTACCCCCTTTTGATCAGGATTCTTCTTTAGAAGCTCTGAACAAAATGTTCATTAAAGGTAACTGGGCACCATCTAATTCTGATCTCATGGCAAAGGAGGCACTTTTTCATCCTAGATCCTGTTGTTTTGCCTCGGGGGCTATTACTGGAGTTAAATGCTTTATGCTATTTTGCTTTGTGCTTCCTAAGAAGAAAAGAATTGTTGAAATTAAAAAAAAATTTTTTTTAATGGGTATTTTTTTCATTATG